CCAAGCAAACATGACTTTGTGTATAATACACTAATACAGTAGGCCACATATGCTGGAAAGGCTGTGATCCAAATATCTGCAGCATCTTTTCCTTAAGGAGAATAAATCCAAATACAAAGTTAGAATTAATTTTCATAAGGATTAATGTATGTTAGGATCACTTGTCTGCTACATGAACGTACTGCTAGCTATTGGTACCCAAATCCCAGGATATGTGGACTGTGTTGGGCAGGGGATCAGATGAGGTATAGCTGTAGTTCTTTGACCCGAAGTCCATCAACATTATATTCAAGAAATGTGTGAATAACCTAACACTTTAAAAAGTGGATTAATTCAAGCAGGAGGTACAGTGAAGTAAAATAACTGAAAACATAGTTTTGTCTTTGGCATTAGACTATTGAGCTGGTCTGTAAAAATGTTTGGTTCACAATTCAAACAGATGTTTTTGTCCTGTTTGTTCCCTCCTTGACAGTGTTTTGCTTTTCAGATTGTTGTAGTGACTGTTTTGATGTAGTTGTAAATACTTTTCCAGGCTAGTATCAGACTTCATTTTGGTTTGGGTTTTTTGGTGTGTTTTTTTTTTTAATGCATTCAACCACAAACATTTGATAACTATAGACATTTACCTCAAGAACTTTAGTGTTAAGTGTCATTCCAAGTGTATGATGACAAAATTATATCCTCATGACTTTTAAAGTGTGTAACTGCTAGTTTTTCTTCCAGTCAGAAGTGTATTCATTAACAATCGCTGAAGTCAAATTATTTCACAGAATCAGTTAGGTTGGAAGGGACCGCAGTAGGTCATCTGGTCCAGCCTTGCTGCTGAAGAAGGGCCATCCTAGAGCACATGGCTAAGGATTGTGTCCAGACAGTTCTTGAATACCTCCAGTGAGGGAGAATCCACAGTCTATGTGGACAACCTGTGCCAGTGCTCAGTGACTTGCACAGTAAAGAAGTTCTTCCTCATATTCAGGTAGAACTTCCTGTGTATCAGTTTTTGCCCATTGCCTCTTGTTTTATTGGTTTGCACTACTGAGAGGAGCCTGTGTCCATCTTCTTGGCACTTCCTGTGCAGTTACTTGAACACATTAATGAGGTCCCTCTCAGTCATCTCTTCTTAACAGGCCCAAGTCCCTCAGCCTTTCCTCGTAAGTGAGGTGCTCCAGACTCTTCATCATCTTTGTTGCCCTCTGCTGGACCTGCTCCAGGAGCTTCATGTCCCTCTTGTACTGAGGAGCCCGGAACTAGACACAGTACTCCAAGCGTGGCCTCAGTAGGGTTAAGTGGAGAGGTGGGATCACCCCTCTTAACCTGCTGGCAGTACTTAATGCATCCCAGGATTGCATTTGCCTTAGCCACAAGGGCTCACTGTTGACTCATGGTCACCTTGTTGTCCACCAGGACCACCAGGTCCTTCTCCACAGAGCTGCTCTTCAGCGGGTCAGTGCCAGCCTGTACTGGTGCTTGGGGTTATTTCTCCCCAGGTGCAGGACCCTGTACTTGCCCTTGCTGAATTTCACTTGGAAATTGGAATTTTCAGTTGAATTGCAATTTTCTTCCTTGAAATTAGATGTTAGTTGGGAAATCAGTTAGAAATTAGTTGTGAATAGGTGTGTGAGGCGTTAAGTTTGCTACAAAGTTGTCATTAGGTCTCCATCTCTTATTTTATTGATCTCTGGGATGTAGGTTTGTATTTCTAATATGCACTTTGAACTTCAAACTTGAACTGTAAACCTGATTTTTCTGTTCTTGAGAACAGATAGTTTTAGGGGCTTAAATTCATATGACAACATGCAGAGGAACCCTATGTTTAAATTTCTTGATGTTAATTAAGTGTAGTGTTTCAGCATAGCAGTGTAGAATAAAAACAAAAACCTATGTTGTGTCTCCCTGTTACATGTGGATTTGGTACATGAGTGTAGATGTTGGATCTTACCTCTCTGGAAACTAGAGTAAGTTGTTAAGTAGCAGTATTGGAGAAGTGTGTGTCTCACATTGTAAATATTAAGCAAGTTTATATCAAAATGGAGCTATTTCTCTCATTATCAAACTGCTCTCAGATCATGGTAGAGGGTAATTTAGGAACTTTATCTTACTTCCTACTGGTGAACTCACAAGCAGCTCTGCTTCTCCTTCTCATTAAAGGCAAGTAGAAACAAGTAATACGAATTAGCATAAGTAGCTTTCCATACTGGTCTGTATTTGATTGTGTGTGTTTTTTAAAATTATGTTTAAAAGCCCAGCCAAATACACCAGAAATCCCTCCCCAAAAATTAACAAAACCAAACAAAAAACATCAACCCACCCACCAAACAAAGCCACAACCAAAGGACCATCAAAACTAAACTCTGCTCAGTTTGGCTTTCCACACTTCAAACTTCTTCTCTGCTTGGCTAGCCTTTTTTATTTTATTTTTTAGTCACAGTTTCAACATGTAACTTCTTGAGATGATGCATAATGTTAGCAGACTTGGAGCTTGTTGCTCTGAAAAGCTCAGTAGGCTTTTCAAAAGAACTTGCAGACTGGCTTAGTTAGTGGTCCTGGATGTAATCATCTACATTCAGGAAGAAAAAAAAATATATATAAAAATAAAAGACGTGCATTTTAAAAAAGTTTCAAGATAAATAAAAAATCCTTGGTAAATTAGGTAGAAAGCTACACCAAAATCTATTTTGACTATTAAAGGTTAGAGTGAAATAATCAAGTTAAAAATGCTAAATCTATTTTCCTGTGAGGCTTTGAGTTGAATCCCCAAGTACATATGCCTTTGGATTTTAATTTTTTTTCTTCTTCAAAAACGTTTGTATCTCTCTTTTCCTCACATGACTTTGCCCAAGTCAGTGCTTGAGGTACACTTGCTTTAGTGATAAATTGGATTGTGTAGGAAGGACCTCTAGTGTTTCCATAGTCTGGGCTTCAGTTACTGCAGAAGATGGTGTTTGCTGAATAAAAGACTTGAAAAGAAAAACAGATGCTGTCAGTGTTAAATATACTACCTTGTGGAATTGCACCTGAATGCTGTTTTTGCGAAGTAGTTGCAAATGGTAATTAAGATGTAATGCTGGTGTTTAGCATCTTAATGGTAATTAAGATGTTTACATTTCAATTAAGACTAGTCACTGTTCTTTATTTGGTGGTGCTTAACTATGGGCTGATTACCAGAAACGTGTGGAATTGCTTTTACATCTGAAGTCAAAGCTGTGTTGTGAATGTGAATTTTTTTATGCTTATGTGTACACTAGAAAAAAATCGTTTTACAAGTTGCCACTCAAAATTAGTGGGCAGTTTTAACCTCATGTGTCAGGATTCATACTGTCTTGTTTAGTGAGTTTAACTTGCCCAGTACTTCAAGTATGAGAGCTGTAAAGAAATCCTTGAAGAAATTATGCAGTATATTAAAGTATAAAGCCGTATATTAAGCCACAAGATAAATTTATTGGATTCTTGCCGAAATACACTGCAAAAGAAGTGTAATCTCTTCATTCTTAGAATAGTAAGGACAAGTGTGGAGGAGTGAGGAGAAAACGAGCAATCCCACAGTTTTCCTGAAAATGTTGGAAATTAATTAGGGATGCCCTTAAGTTTTGGTGTTTTGGTAATTAAATGCTAGTAACTGGAATGTTTATGTTAAAATATATCTCTTCATGTAGCTTCTTAACTTTCAAGGCAAGCTGCAAATTGAAGTTTCATGTACAATATTCCCTTAGTAACCTGTGGTTCATAGGTAGAATTACTCTTGTTCCCTGCAGTGTTTGTTGCTTGAGCTATGGCAGTAATACGTAGCAGTAGTAGGTTGCTGTAGGTTACTGTTCCCTGTAGACTAGCATTAGAATCTTTGCTGATAAGTTTTGAAAGCTTTGTTGTAACGTGAAATGTGCTGAAGTGAACATGGGCTACTCTGCCTGTGGTCTTACTGCTCTAAAAGAGCGCTGATCTCTTAGTGGGGTTTATTTTTGTTTGATTGTTTGTGGTTGGTTTATTTAGTTAGTTAGTTAGTTTGACACAATCCTGGTTTTTTTCACTCTGATATCAGGCTTCTTGGCTACTACATTGTGACGTCTCTGTCAAGGTTGTGATTCTTCTCTTGCACTGACTTCATGTCAATTTTTTTCTTCTCATCCTTCACTTGCCTGCCAAACCCAATTTTCTCTGTGGCTCGTTCATTTGAGCTCTCTAGTGCTCTGCATTCAAATCCTGACCTTCCTTGGCTTAGGAGGAAGACTCTCAGGTTGTTAGACATACCATGAAGCAGTCCAAATCTGTTTTGGGGAATAAGGTGTGAATATATATTTCAATCCCTTGAGTACATACAAACTGATCTTACAATGTTGCTTTATAAGTGGAACCAAACCATTTGTGTGGGGAGTTGAAATAACAAAACCATCAGTCCTTACAGAGAAGTTATTCTCTCACTTATTCTCAACCCCCTGCATCTGTAAATCATACTGTAACTCATCTTTAAGAAGCAACATGGTGCTTACAAGAAAAAAGAATACAGCAACTCTGTTTTGACCCCTGAAAGAGTTGTGATGAGGTTAACTTCCACCCTACCTGTTTTGCAGAAGTTATAAAATTGAGAAGGTCGTGGTGAGGAGTAGCAGACAACCTTTCTAGGTTGTCGTTTAAGCTTCTCCTTAATTATTGGTTAAATGAGATAAAGGGCGAGATCAATCATGTTTCTTCCTGACCTGTGTAAATGGAAGAGATTTGGGATACCCAACTTATTTTGCAACCTGGCTATCTGGATCTGGAGGTAAAAAACCCCAAAGCTGTGTATTCAAGAACATTGCCCCAAACACCCAGATTTTTGTTAATGATTGTGTGTTGTGGTCCTGTCTTGAGGCAGGTTATTTGAACAGTCAGGGCATAAGCTACTTCTGTTGTTGCAAGGCGAGTTCGTTAACTTGGGGAGGGTCAGAGGGAAGAAAGGAGTCTTAAGTTACTGTGTACGTAACTAGGATGGGTTCCTATTTGACCTAAAGTCTGTCTTGATGCAGCAGCACAAGCCAGCGAGGAGACTGTCACATTCCGCCGTGAACGCAGCACATTTAGGCGTCAGGCAGTACGACGCCGGCACAATGCAGGGAGTAACCCTACCCCTCCTACATTGCTCATCGGATCACCCCTCAGGTAGGGTATCTAAATGTTCCACCATATTTAGCATGCATGCAGCAGACCACTTCTCCACACCCACCAGTGTTGCCAGAAAAGCACTTTTTACTTCCTTCCCCACCATAACCTCCTCGAGCTGTCACTGCATGTCACTGTGGGCTTGTTGAATTGTGCATGTATATGTTGCACTATTTTTAGAAATGGTCAGGATAGACAGTCTCTAACATGTCATAGTCGCTTTCAGATTGATATAAAAATTAACTAATGCTAACAAACCTAGACTCACTCAGTGTTTTTTATAAAAAAATTTAGAAACTTTTATTTTCAAGCAAGAAGAATCCAAGGAAATAGTGTTTACCACTCCCCATTGTGGGTTTCTTTCCTCTTAGAAAATGCACATTAGGGTCTAGTACTGTGATCACTTTTCACATCTATAGATAGTGAGAAAAAGCATAAAAACAGTAAAAGTGCATTATAAAGAGTTAAATCATACATACAGAGGCTCCAAATCTAAAATACAGGTAAACCTTTATGAATATCCTGCAGCTTTTTACAGCAGAAGAGAAGTAGTGAAGTGTTAGTGATGTCTGTTATAGAACACACAGTATTGCAGTATTAAATCCAATTGTGTGGCACTTTGTGTGCCTTAGCAATGTTTAAAATGTACTATATACATGCATCCCAGGAGTCCCCAGCCTTCAGTGGCCAAGCTGTTTACAGAGCTGTGCCTAGTGTTTTCTTATGTACAACAGCTCTGTTTGGTCTGTCAACCTGAGCGGCAGATGCAGCAACCACAATTAAGTTTTTAGCTTGCTTTTTAAGTCTTTCAGTCTCTTGGTTGCCTATGGTATTGGAGAATCTGGTGAGCAGAATATGGCCTGTTGAAGAAAGAACACTCCCCCATATATATCAAAGTAATTCTTCCTTCAGTTGTATGATAAATATTTAGGAATAATTGTATGTGTCATGTATTCTTAATGATCTACCTTCATATGCTAAGTTGTCTTTTTATAATAGGAGCAGTCTGTTTTTGAATTTCAGAAATTCTTGTGTCATTTTATTTAACTAAGAGCTGTAGAAACTAAGCAAATAAAAAGCAAGTATTGTACAACAGAGGATGGCAGAGGAATTGTGCCATCTTTGTTGCACTGCTGAAATAATTGAGGACTATGTTTTTAAATTTTCCTCAGGGAGATTGCAAGAATAGTACCTAAAATCTGACAGATGAAGGATTGACTTCTGCCACATCAAGGACTGAAAGTAGTTAGATGTGTTTTTAGTGACTCGTGCAGTATGTAGCAATAATCACATAATTTCAGGGTTTTTTTTGTTAAGCATTTGATCTTGCTGAATGTAGCTTGTTCAGCTTTTAGTGATGTACTTCATAGTGAAGGATGATAAAACTTTGCATTCTCTCAAATTGCTTTTGCTCTGCTTAGTTCCCTTCACTTGAATCTGGAGTTGTGATGGGGTTTTTTTTCTCCCTTTTTTTATAAGGGTAGTACAGTTTTGGGTATTGCTTCATAAGAGGCTGTGCAGACTAATCAGAGCTCCTTAACTGTGCTTTAGTCAGAATACAGTGTTTTCTCTTAGGTAGAAAGTAAGGAAAATAAAGGACTCTGTTTTAAACTGGTTGACAGCTGCCTCATTTTCGTGTCATAGTGCAGCCATTAAGGTTCCCATGATTTAAGCTTGACTTCAGTGAGAGATCATGAGAAAAAGGAGCTGGTGAAAGTAACTTTTTAATCTGACAAGATGTTCAAGGGTAAAGAAGTGGATCAGATATTCTAGGTCTGTATTTCCTCTAAGCATCTTCCAGTTATCTAAACTTGTTCCATTCTAAATTAAAAAACCCAAAACCACTCTCTCTACTTTGTCTAACATAATGACACACATGATCAAAAATGGATATAAGCTTGTACTGTAAACATGTTCAGAATTGAATTCTTAGTGAGGTTACTTTGCTCAAAGCATTGTTTGTGGTGCTAAATGATGCTTCCTTGAAGTATAGTTAAATCGCTGTAGTCCAGTCAAACACTCAAGTGCCTTCAGATTTGTTCGACACAGATTCCATTTGAGTTATCAGCTTTGGAATGTGTCTGAAAAATACATTTATTACTGTTCAGACTTGTAGTCTGAAAAAGCCTTTCCTTTATATGGGTAGCTTCATTTTAGCGTAAATTCTGTGTTCTTGGAAGACAGAAACACTTTCAGATGAAAAAAGTCAGTTGTGCATAAGGAAGAAATGGTAAGAAATAGATATTTTTAGCCAGTTACCACCAAGTTGTTTTCAAAATATCACTGCAGCTGTACTAGCATCACTCATACATGATAGCGGTGAGCTGCTTCGGTCTAGTTCTTGATACTGCTAATCCATATGACTTCAGATATTAAACATCTAACAGTATTAGATTTACTAATCTTTAGTTGCTCTGATGTTACTTATTCTTGCCAGCAAAACTTTAATCTCCTAATCTTCTAACTCTGTCATCAAGTTGGATGTTCTAGGGATGGTCCCTTAGAACCTGTTGAGTTAAACCTGACTTTTTTTGTTGTTCCAATTTCTTATTCATTATTGCAATTACTTTTCACTTCTTCTCTGGAATGTTTAGTAAACGAGACAATTATGAAAATATGATATTATATGTGTGTGTCTTCGGCAATGGTAGACAAAAGCTCATCTAGTAAATTCTGCTGGTTTGATGCAAAATTAGGCACAAGAGTACTTTGTCTGGTAACTTAAAAAAATGAAATAAACCCAAAACCCACCATAGAACCACTGTCTGCCCCTGCTTTTGTCCTGCCTTAATGTCAACAGTGTTTGGGCACCTTAAAAATAAGTATGCATTGGCATTCTGTGTAGTCAATGGTGTATGCATGTGTGTCTGATACGAGAATGTAAATGACTAAAGCAGAACTGTATGATTATTGATTAATGAATAAGCACATTTTTTGCATATCTGTGCAGTATGTTAATGTCAGCATTTTGGTGGGCAGATATGGGTAACTACTCAAAGGGCAGTTGTGTGTATACCTTTTGATATGTAGCTGCTATTTAAGGGAAAGCAGTGTTGCTTAGCATTTTTTTGGTGTTGCTGATAATACTTGAGGGAGACAATGAAGGCTGGCACATTTGTGAGCTTCCTCAGGGCTTTTGTTGCTGTGTAGCTCACTGAAAGCCTTGTGTATGTATAGCTGCAAAACACTGACTTTAAAGTTCAGATTAATACACGTTAGATTATGGTACATCATGAGTTGCAGTTCCCTTCCTCATGAGCTGTGTGCATGTCTGCATTATTTTGCATGAGCTTTTCTTAATGCCTATTCTTATATCCATATTTTGTTTTCCAGTGGTGCTCTAGCAAAAGAACTGAAAAGTAGATGTTCTAGAAAATATTGTTAAAAGCAAGTGCATCAGATATAACCCCTCAACACTTAGTAAGATCTTGGGTTTTTTAGTTGTCTCATTTGCTAGCTATAGCATCTCCCTGTAAACAGTGAAATGTTAAAAGCAACAGATGGTGCAGATTGTTTTTCAGAAGTGTGTTTAAGATATTTTCTACAGTCTTTAAAATATAAAATCTTTTGTCCTAAAATGACACAGCTAATGACTATGATATATGACCTTAAGTGCACAAAATGAAGGATAAAAACACTGCCCTTGCAAAGGTGGTGTGATACCAACTGTAAATGTCATGTACTGTGACACTTTTTGTCATGTCTAATGTTAAATGTTTAATATTAAGCAAGCTATTAAAAATCTAAATAGCTTTATACTTTAGTTTTGCAATGAGAAGGCTGTGAAGAGGAGAGTTAACATTTTCAAGCATTGTCTACTCATGGCTGTAAATGTACATATTTCTCTGAAGCCCAAGTTGACTTTTAAAACCTGTGTTTTGGTGAGTAACAAAGCTTTTGCTGTATTGTCAAAATAACTTCGAAATAGACTTAAAACTTTTCCAGTTAATAACATGTTACAGGCATTCTTAATATGTTAAAAAATAAATCTGAATCCAGACATAACTTCAGTTACCTACAAGCTGTGTGGTAGTGCATGGCCACTAACAAAAGATTAAACATGTTTCCTAGTTGGAGTGCGGGTTAGTAACAAGAAAGGTGCTGCCCCTGTGACTAGTAAAAACTCCCAAACAGCCAACAGAACGGCTGGTCAAGACATACCTCAATAAGCAAAAAGGTCCCCAACTATTGTGAGAAGACTGGAATAGTCACTGCTATTTTGTAGGCAATACCTCAGGTTAGTCTACTGTTAGTCCGTAATTTGCTTTTGCACCCACAAATTAAGACTTATAATAACATACTTGTAGGTGACTTGGGGAGATGTTAGAAAGCAATACTGCTTTAAAGAAGTTGAAAGGAACTGTAGCTCTAGATGACTGATGTAACTAGTGTCCAAATTTTCTATTACACAGAACTTGCGGGTTACTTTAACCCTGATAATTGGCTGCTTAATGCTATACTCTTTTAAAAGTTTTCCTCTTTTAAAGTGAAAAGTCTTGTTTTGCTTCACGTCTAGCTATTTTTCACTTCTTCCTGGTAATGTGTCCCCAATGCGTGTTTTCTCGTAGCCTTCAAGATGGTCAGCAAGGCCAGCAGTGCTGCTCCCAGGTCAGAGTGCAGTCCCGCCCCCCTTCCCAGGCAGCTGTGCTCGGCGCTAGCGCCTCCTTGCTGGTGAGAAATGGGAGTGTCCACTTAGAAGCATCACATGCCACTGCAGCTGCTGTAGGCGGTAGCAGTTTGCACGATGAACTTGGTATGCAGGCCTTATGTAACCTTGGTCACATGGAAGTTGTAAATCGGCAGATGTGTTGGTAATAATGTGGTGGAAATCAGCTAACCTGAGCTTTGTTTCTCAATCTTATAGGTGCATTTCTAGGAAGGCCATGTTGCTCATCAATTTCTTGCTTTTGTCAGTCACCTTTCTGGGCACTTTGTCTAACAAATGCATGGTGGGAAATAGCTCTAAGGATGCATATATACAAGCAGTGATGTTGTGAGAGCTTTCTTGACTTGAACAATGTAACATGTGTAACAAATAATTTTTCTTGCAGTGTTGCAGGCAGTTGAGCAGAGATTGAGACCAGCTTTGGGGATCTCCTGGTTCCTGAAAGAAGTATTTGTTATGGCCCCTAGGAATTCTTGATCGTAATTTTTCTCAGATGAGTCTTGCTTACCTGTGTTCAAAAAAGAAATACTCATGTTAAATGAGTACTTTGCTTTCCACATCTTAATTTAGGAGCTTGCTATTGGAAGAAAATCTGACTTTCTTCTATAAAATGTCATGATTTTACAGAGCTTTATAGTACCTCTTAGTTTCTTCATAGTCCATTTTGTGTAGTATTCTTAAGTATTAATTTCCTAATTAACTTGTATGCAGCTAATAAAATTGCTAGGGAGAAAGAAGTAAAGATGGTCATAATAAGTGACTGACTTCCTGCCACACAGTATTGCAGAGGCGGATGTGGAAAAATTCCTGGCAGGGATCTTTGCAGCTATCTGTACGTGGCCTAAATTTCTTAGGACTTCAGCATTAATATGTAACTCCTCCTCAGATTATTAAAATGGGCATCTTTAGACTTGACAATTATTAGTGACAGAATTTTGAGCAGCTGCCAGCTGTAATAACCTAAAAGTACAGGTTTGCTCAGAACACTGGCAAAACGCTTGTTTCAGACCTTACTGCAACCCAGTGCTAAAACATGAGTGAATTGTCTCTTACCCCACTAGTTGCCAGCCTGTGGTAACCCTTTAAATACGAGTTTGGCTAAGTCTTCATTCTTCTGCATCATCTAGCTGCAATATAAGGAAAACCTAAATATAAGCAAAACTGAAAACAATCCAACTCTGAGATGTTTAACTGTAGATGTGCAAAATGCATATGATCTACTTATGTGATAATACCCATTTTAGATTCTGTCGCTTTACTAGTTTCTAGATTGAAAGACTGAGATCTGTCTCAGTGCTTGTACATGTCTCTGAACTATGGAAGCTTATCACACGAAACTACAGATTCCTTTATTCAATTTGTACTCTTCTTGTTTGAAAAAAGTACTGGAATATGGTTGTGAAATTAAGGGATACTGGTTATATCTGTCCAAGGTTAATATTGAGATGATATATTCTTGAAGCCACCATTATTTATTTGTTCATCTTACTCAAAATAATAGACTCAAGTTTTATAGAATTTGAGATTTAATACACAATCTAAGTATGCATTAGTTATTTAAGGACTTCTTTACTATGCTGTAGCAGAAATCAAAGTGGATAATTGAAGAAATTCAACATGGCGTTCAGACTTTCTAAAAAAGCATACTCATTGCACTTGGCTTGTATTGGAGCCTTCATAAATTTATATGGCTCAGTTCTTTTGAAACTTTGTACTGTGCTTACAGTTGTATGGAACATCACATTGTCTTGGGGAGATGCAAAACTTCCAGGATCTGCTCAGTTAGAAACCTTATGTATAGTAGGGATTTTTTTTCCTGTTTTGAAACTCTGAGCTTCTGTTTAGAAACATTTGAGTGAAAACAGCTGTTATAGGCAAGATTTGTTTTTAGTATTTTTGGGAAATCATATTTTCTACTTTGTGTAGCAGACTGTGTGACAGGTACTAGCTTTTCTTAAGTGTAAAATAGTTGGCAAAATGGTGCAACATTTCATGTGCATGATTCCTTTATCAGGCCTGACAAGAAAGGAAAGCATCTTTCCTTATAACTGGTACATGATTTGTTTTTCTGCTTTGTTCTTTGTTGTGTTTTTTAATCCTCAGTCAGGGATGAAGTAGCACTACTGCTGTGTTTCCCTTAAGTCTAAGGCTCTTGATTTTGCTCTGTTATCCTAAGATATCTTACAGTGAGAGATGACCCTGTTACTTTACATTATGTATTGTTTGGGAGTGGGGGTAGGTTGTAGTTTGTTTTTTTTTTTTGATCAACATTAGAATAAAAATTAAAACAATGCAAGCAATATGACCAATTCATTGTCACCATGGAAGTCACTGTGACTGCCCAGGGCAGAAAAAATACTGAAAACAGGGTCTGGGGAAAATATATGAAAACAAAATCTGTTTTACAGCAACTGGAAATATCAGTGGCAAATGTGGTAGATGGAGTTATATATCTCTGTGCAGTGCGTATAGGAGTTTATAAATTCAAACTGCCTCAGGAAGGCAAGCCAGGGGTATGTGTTAAATTACTTTGAAAGCTCCCATATTTAGGGCTGTTGATTTGGGTTTTTTTTTTTACCAGTGCAGTATCTGCTTCTGTGTTTTTTTTTCTGTTTGTCTTGATGTCAAGCTGCAGCACTTAACAAGATACATAGTTTTTATGTTTTTGTTTGCTTTTAAGTTCCTTGTCTGTTGACTTGATTTTGGTGGCTTATTTTACAAAGGATAAATCTTACTGTATTACACCTAGCCTATGCCAGGTCTGGTGACTGTACTTTCACTTTCTTTACTGACTTTTACTCTAAGGGCAATGCCCAGTTGGGCAAGAGATACTTTAAGGCATTACCTTCAGTCTTCCAGGTTCAAAGCAGGAAGGTTTTTATCAATTGTTGTTGTTTCTTGAGGGTTGAGGGGGAAGGAACTTGAAAGGATGGAAAAGGAGCTTGATGTGGAGCAGTAAATGTGAAGTAAATCATAGAAGGAATGCAGGACAGAAAGGACATGCTGTGATTATAGGCAAGATTAATATAATACGAATCCAGAAAGCAACAAAACACATACTGTGACTTAAGTGAATGGCAGTTTTCAGAGCACAGTGTGGTTGTTCTCGCTGATATCTGATTCTCTAGACATGTAGGTGATGGATGGGATTTTTCAGTCCTTGCAGTAAAGGCTTGTTAGATTCAAATTAGATTATGTGAAGCAGTTAGGAATCCAAGTACTGAGTTATTAGAACAGATGCCCAGTTTCTGAAACCAGGGTGAAGTAACAGAAATAACAGCCTCTTGTTCTTTGCTAGACATTTTAATTATTCATTTTTTTTTTAGGAATATTGCTTTTGTGCTTACAGAGAACTGGTCATTTGGAGCTTCACAAGACAATTACACTGCACTGTTGGATTTCTGGTTGTGTCACTTATATGCAAGCAATAATCTTTCAGACTTATGGAAGTATTTTAATTTATGAAGGCAGTTGGATGGTCTTGAATATCAAAATTTTTCATAAAAGATAACCTTACGCATTGATTATTTACTTGATTAAAAACAATTTAGAAGCAGTTCCTCAACACCTTTTTATAACTAAATAGCTGTAATTTATTTGGGATAGATGTGGGAGGATGTAAAAGGTATTGGTAGAAAATACTCACTTCTTTATTCATGTGGCAAATATCCCTGTTGTAGTCTGTGGAATTCAGCATAACAGGTAAGTTACTCTTTCAACAGCCTTCATACAGGGACAAAAAAGTAATTGCTTTGGGGTGTTCTAACTCTAAACATAAAAATCTTCATACCGTAGCTAAGGATAAAATTTTGAGCATTGGAATTAAAGCTCTTAGTATTTTACTAAGTATTCAAATTCTGATGGCTTTGATTTTGTTGACTAGGATTTAAAAAATACTGTCTGAAGTAGTAGATTAATATATCTTGATCTGATAATGATGTAAATTTCAACATGTCAGTAAGCATTAGTAACATTCTGAACTAGTCTGAGAGATCTGAAACAATAATATTTATTAGATGTAAAACTGGGAAATAAAATCATTTAGCTGAGGAAACAGTCAGAGCACTGTATTAGTTGGATCCTGAGCCACTTGAGTGGCAGTTTCATCTGTGTAAGCTCATCATCCTGTTGCTTTCATTCATACCCTTCACTGTGGGAACATCAGTTCATGCAGTGTGAGCTGTTACATGATTGTCTCTGGATGTGGTGATGAGATTTTTGTGTTTTGGAACAAGGAAACTTGTTTCAAAGGCAGTGCATTCGTCTTTTCCTCTCCCTGTCAGAATGAAAATGTGTTTTAGGTTTGTGTGCCTGAGTATCAGTGACTTGGTTTTCTTATTTTTTAACTTGGTCCAAACAGAGTATTTTTTGGGCGACTCTGATGTGCTAAGAACTCATAGCTCTCCCTCTTTTTTGCGTGTGTTTTGTGGAGAAGTTGCAAACATTTCTGTTTAGTGGGCAAACATGCTATTAATTGTATGTCTTGATTTGTAAAGTAAACTTGGGAGTTTCCCATTTGTTTACAACTTGCTAAAAATATTTTCTTAAGCTTGCTCAGTGTGATGCTGTTTCAGAGAATGCTGTGGGAAAGGATGTTAGTAGGGTGAATAAAAATGCTAGGTATATCTGTATGTATTGAGTCTTGCAAGTGTTGAAAATTCTTCATTAGGGTTTGAGTGTGCTGTTGAAGAAGCTGTTCCTATCTCACACAGTTCAAGTATTTACTGCTGGGGCTTTGGAGCTCAGACATACTATCTGCAGTCACACCTTGGGGTTTGTGTCCTCAACAGCAATGAACAGTCCTGTTATGTTTTCTACTTCAAATGGGTTGAGGCTTTTCTGAAGAGCCTTTTGATTTAAAACAAACAAAACCCCCCAACAAAGCAGAAACCAAAAGAAAAACAAAAAAAGGGGCAGACAACTTTGTTTTAATGAGAAGCTGAGCTAGCTTTCAATAGGAAGCCTATTTAAATAGGTGGTTGAAGTGAAAGTATGGCACAACTTGAGTGTGTCTTGTAGTTTGTGTATGAACAATTGAAATGAAGTGTTGGGTTTGGTTGCTACGTCTCTATTAATCAGGTTTGTTTTATCCTACCACAGCAGTGCAGTACTTACAGCAGCAATATAAATGCAGTAATTTTTGACAGATTCAAAGATGAGTTGGATGAGAGGGAACTATAGATACTTGTGAGTGCAATAGTTCAATAAACTTCTTCTGAAATAAATGTATCTGATGTGTTATCACAGCCCAAGAGAGATGGCAAGTTATATGTCCAAGTACTGTATTCTAACTAATGTGATGAGAATTTTATTAATTTAAAAATTAGAAAGTTTAATTTCCAGGATCTCTGTTCAGTAATGCAAAAACATGAGGAATTTAACCTTAACTTCCTTGTCTTTTAAAGGCTGGTTGCAGGAGATTTTTCCATAATAATTTATGCATATTTTTGTGCTGAGTAGAGCCTGAAGTGTATTATCTAGTATCTCCATGCTTGCTGTAGAAATATTTTTACTGGTGCAGTTAAGAAACAAACCTGTGTAACCAAAGCTTTTTATTAGTTGTGGGAAGATTCCTAATGGCTTTCACTAGTTTAAATTTTAAACTTCAGCATTAACTGTTTACTACACTGCATTAAAAACCAAAAGATAATTAGCTAAGGCACTTCATTAAAATCTTAACTATTAAGGAAAAAGCCTTATAAAGTGAACTCTGTACTTTTATTTCCTTACATATGTCTATAGCAGATGTAACAGAATATTGGGAGACCACTGTGTTACTGACCTCTGTGCGTGACTCCTGAACTCTCTAGTGGACTGTCTTGTCAGAATGGTTGGTCTGAGCACAGCTGTAGTACATGCCTGGTTTGTCTGAAATGTTCCCTCTGAGGGTAGAAAACTTTATGAAGATACTCTCCATATACCAGTATTTTTTCTTAGTTTTAGTGGTTTTAATCATTTACTTTGAGGTTTTTAACCTACTAAGTTTCGAATGTTTCTAAATCAAACTTAGAGTCCGTGGCTCTGAAGAGAAGCTGGAGCAGGATCATAGTATGTTTAAAAAAAATAAATAATCAAAACCCACTATGTCAGAAGCAGGTTATGTTCTCACAGAAAGGGGAAGGATCTTTGATCTTGTTAGGTATTTCTCCTGGGACTATTTCTTATTTTTTTTTGTATAAGCTGATCTTAGAATATAAAGGGGAAGGATCTTTGATCTTGTTAGGTATTTCTCCTGGGACTATTTCTTATTTTTTGTATAAGCTGATCTTAGAATACTGCATGCTTTGCATCATGGCTTAAGAAGAGTTTCAAGGTAGAAGAGATGGAGAAGTTGGCAGAAAAGTTCATATGAGATCACAGTTTGAAAATCAGCTCTGCATTCAGAGCTAAAATGTATTGAACTCAGCCTTCAGGGGAAATTACAACGCTCGTCTCTCCAATCAGATTAGTGTGGGAGGAGGGTACTGTAAAAACATCATGTTGTGAGTAAGGTATTGTATCATTTGAATTATAATTTTTGGCTACCTCTTAAAAATTCTATATTTAGGAAGTAACTCCAAATGGTTTATCTGGGAAGTTAGTTTGCAGTCTTCTGTTCTTACACTGAAATGTTTGCTTCTGGCTTGTAGAATAAACCTCTGCCTGCCATTCCTTTTTGATTTTCTAAAGGTATAACTTACAAAACATCTCAGCCATTTCTTTCAGTCTATGAGTTTCTTTGCAAATAGACGTGGGCTTCTCAGAAATAATTTTATTCATGATACTTGGGTTATCTGTGTCATAGTGAAATGCCATGGTTCTTAAATGCTGATAGCAAATGATTTACTGATTGGTCTACTGGGGGTGGGGAAGAACTGAAGAAGCTGATCATCCCAAGTTGTGTGCCTGGTTATTATCTAAGGGGAAAAAGAAGACTTACATTGTATTTGTTGTGTTAATGGTGCCATCTTGTAAATACAAACTTGTTGAATTTGATTTAGTATTGCAGTTATGGTGTATATGTTATGTAAAATAGCATGAAAGACAACTGACTATCTAATGTGTTGTCTATACTGGTGACACATTGTGTAGTCACATTTTATATTTTGACACTGTTCTAAATTTAGACATCTAAGCTGTTCTCAGTAGTAAGTTAATGAATAGAAACTGCTGCCAATGGGATGAAACATTAGGAAATGTTGACCTGCTTTTGACCTTTTCTTTAACAGGTAAGTTCAGTTCTACGCTCTACGAGACAGGGGGCTGCGACATGTCACTTGTGAACTTTGAGCCAGCTGCAAGAAGAGCATCCAACATCTGGTGTGTGTGAAGGCCAGTCAAGAGTGATGATTCTTGTCTTACTGCAACCAAATATTTGATTTGAATTTTAAAAGGTTATTTAGGATACACTACCAAAGAATCAATGCAGAATATTATCCATATACTTCTGCTTTTGAAACCCAAGTGATTTTTACCAGAAGATGACGTTAACTGTGTAAATAATCTCCTCCACTTAAATAAATCTCAGAAAATGAAGACTACTATTAGCTTAAGCAATCAGTTTCCAAATGGATAATTTGACAAATGAATTGTTGATTGGCTTATAGAAAAGTCTTAAAGGATTTAACCCAGGTTATGAGAAAGTACGTGCCTGTTGACCTTAATGACTATTAAACTTCCAATTGTGAAGCAATTATAAACTGATAAATTTGTTCTCAAGTTCATAGATGGCTTGAAACAATACATGGAAGTATTAACATGCCCGAGGTTAAAATTTGACTTGCAGTTGAAATAGCCAGCTACATACTGGAACATTCATCTGCTGTTGGAAAGATGCCCTTTCGTCCTCTGAAGGGATAGGAGGCAGAAGAAAGAAAAACAATCCAAAACCTCTTTTGTGGCTCCCCATCTGCCCCCAATCCACTTCACTGTATAGAACTGCTCTGAAGCTATTGCCTCATGCTGAATGCTACAAAATTGCACCACATGTAGGTGGAATAGCTATTGGATTTATGGAGTAATGAATATAAAAGCTCCCATCTTCAAATCTTTCATGTGAAAGGATGCAAGTGCCTTTTGTAGAATGGAACTTTTTGTCAAAGTTCTGTATTCCTTGCACAAAGCTGCCAATGCCTGCCTCTACTGCTTGCATGTTTCAGATGCAATGGCTTTGCTGATGGCTGCTGTTACGAAGTTGTATGTGGAAGGAGTGGGTAATGGAAGGAACAAACTGGTCGCCTCAGATAACCAAATCTCAGCTGTAGAGAACACTTGAGGTTCAGTGAAGTAAAATTGATAACAAAGAATGTTTTTATCTTAAGGCAAGGAACTGAAGGAAAGTTGCATAAATTTGATACAAGTCTTACAACCATGTGATTTACATAGAAAACAAACATCCAAAATTGGGGAAAAAAAGCAATGGTTGGATATGGACTCTCATACAGTAAGAGAAATTTCTCTTCATCTCTAATGAATGGAAATTGCGAAGTAATTTTGCGAGGTTTAAGTTTATTTAAAGTTAAGTTTTTCAAAAGCAGTTTCATCTAAAGTAGCTCAGAATACTCATGTTAAGTATGTACTGTTTTGGGCAGTTTTGGGGCCTTGATAAAAGTAGTATAGAATTAACAGAAAAACTGCACATAAGCACATAGTGGCCTCTGCACTTCTTTAGAGATGTGATGTGATGTACTTCAGTAGCTAACAGATTATAAAACATCTTTGGATTTTTCAGGTAGAATAATTACGATCATTCGAGTCCTTGTTAGACTTGTTAAGGACTGGGTGTTGAGAAAATGGTATTAAGGGTAGCATGAAAGAGTCTCTTGGTTTACCATAGCTACAGAATGTACCACAATACATGAGACTAAGTGACTACTTGTATTTATATGTGACTGAAAGAAAAACTTGAAGATATTTAGAGCAAATTCACAAGAAGTCGAAATTAATTTGTGACCCTAGAAAAATTAGTGTAGCCTGTTGAAATAAAATGTAGTTTATAATCTGAAGTATTTTCCCTGTTCTTATAGTGACACGGACTCTCACGTATCGAGTTCTACCTCAGTTCGCTTTTATCCACATGATCTAGTAAGTTTTTCTTACTTATTTTTAAAGCATGCAAAACATCAGAAGACTTTCCGATTTTTATAGCATGGGTTAATCATTCTTTGTGGTAGTTCTTTGTTCTTATGAAGGAATTTTGTCTGGGTTTAAATTAAAAGGAAGTATTTATTGTTGCAGTGTTTCCATATATGCATACGAATTAATCTTTCTGCATAGCACTTCTAAACTTAAGTCATTTTCTCTGATCTAAAGCTTAGTAATTTTAAAAAATCACATGGAAATTGGATGTTCCAAGATACTTTGTAAAGTTTTCCAGAAGTATGCATACAACTTGGACAGAGTTTTCCTTCTGTGCATTACTAAGATAAGCAGGCAGCAGAAGGAATAAATATTGTGTTCTGACCAAAAGAAACTTGAGTAATTTTCCCTGAAAGGAATTTAGAAGTCTGTCATTGGAATCTGCTGTACAAAATTTTAATTCATATGCAAGGAGTGAGTGGGAAAACAAGGTAGAAGTTTACACTGTCTCATACTGCAACTAGCTTTCATTTTGTGATCTCAAACTTTTTATATTGTTGTCAAATCCAGGCATATCTGTACTCTTCATTCTGAAGTCTTATATTGCTGTGTCATGAAAACAGTGTAAATGGTAATGATTCTTAAGCTAGCAAACGAAAGGAAGGTACATTGAAGTCCCAAATGATCTAATCCAGAGGGAAAACGAAATACAGCTTTAGGGTTTGGCAGAGTAGCAGAGACCTCAGTTTGCCTGATTGTGCTTTTGGTCAAGAATGCGCTCTTCAAATCTGGTGTCTGCTAGAGGAATTTTCTTTTTGCTATCCACCATCCCCCTTGCAAATGTAGCCTTTAGAAAAGAGGATGCATTACCTCTTTTGTGCTTTTGGTTTGCCAGTGTAGTCCCATTGGAGGGCATGATTCTGTTTAAGGCAGACTGATGTTTGTAAAAGCTTAGCCCATGTGCCTAAATGGAAATTTTTGCTGAAATTTATATTAGTGTCATGAATGTTATGGTGATTCTACCTTTTAAGAAACCAAGATTTTGGGAAGTTGTCAAAAAGGCACCTATTTTCTGACACAGCTTATCTTACATGATATGTTTTGTGTTTTTGAAATGCCTTTAGAAAGGGACTGTTCCTGCCTGTTGTTTCATTAGTATTTCTCTGGGAAGGAAAAGCTGGCAGAGCATTGTTACAGTACATGGAGGAGTACTGTAAGGAATACTGAAAAAATAGATAAAACAAGAAATCAAATGTTAAAGATAATTGTAGGGGGGAAAAAAACCCCCCTCCAAACCCTGAACCACAGTTTTGACATTTAAAGGTGATGTGAGTATTGAAATTTTACTTTTTGCCTTAAAAGGTTGTGAAGTTTTTAAGTTGATTGACATTTTAGCAGTGATATTGTTTAAGAATAACGGGCAGTGCATTAAGATGTTTCTTGCCCTGTTATGAAACTTACAAAGTGGGTTAGAGGACACATTCATACTACAGAAACTTTTTAACTTTCAGAACATTGTCCTTAAATGTCCTTTATTGCTATTAGTATTACTGTGATTTTCAAGAGAACTCTAGAGCGACAAACTACAAAATAAGTGATAAATATAGTCAGTGATAAATAATACTTGACTTGTTAGGGCAGAGCTTTTTTTAGTTTGTTTCTGAATGTGTTCTGGATTCAGTGAGTTTGAATTTGACTGCTGGTGCACGTGTATGTTGCTTTGTCATGCAAAAGGATCCATTCAGCATGGGTTTGCATGCAGATTAGCTGAATAAGAAATGTTATAATTTATTTAAATTAAGAGGGATTATTCTTGTAGTATATGTTATTCCTTTTCACATATCAGTTTACTTGACTTCAAATTTGAAGTTTTCAGAATAAATAGGATAATGTGCCTTGAAGACATGTTCATTTGAAATAAGACACATGCTAAAATGCCCAATAGTTGTTGTGTGCAAGCTATTATTGTTGCTGGTGGTATTCCTGTGCCGTGGTAAGGGCAGGAAAAGTAAGCAGAAGCCTGTGAACTGACAGTGCTTGACATGTAACTTCTCAAAAGTGAAACTAAAGAATTCTAACAATTTTCTTCAAAGCAAGTTCCAGTAGAATACAGTGAAACAGTAACAACGAGCTTTTGTTAATTCTGACTTTCTTTTAGCTTTCTCTTCCTCAGATCAGGTTGAACAGGCTGCTAACAATGGACACAGATCTGCTGGAGCAGCAAGATATTGACCTGAGCCCTGACCTTCAGGACCACATGCAACCTCAAGAGGAAGCAGCTCAAAAAGTCAAGCAGTACTATCGCTTTTGGATCCTGCCTAAGCTTTGGATTAGCATCAATTTTGATAGATTAACTCTTCTGGCTTTATTTGATAGGTGAGATCTTTGTATTACAGTTTCTAGACCTCAAAAAGTAAAGATTTAAAAACTGTAACTAAACTGTAATACAGATAAAGCTGTCCTGAGAGAATTGTATGTACTGTACCCTGATAGGCAGAAGAATAATATAAAATGCAGTTTTTCTAAAATAATGAAGGTTATTCTCCTTTTTTCTCCAGCAGTCCTAGAAAGAAAAAAAGAAACCAACTCTCACTTTGCCTGAATGGGGCGATAACGTGTCTGAATGGTCAAAAAGAGATTTGTGGCTGATCTTTAAAGCTAGAAAATCATCACCTCCAAAAACTAATGGAAAGGGTCTAGAACCTGGCATACCCTTAGTGTTTCAGCAAATAGAATTTTCCTGCTGTTTCAAAGCATTTCTCCAAAGAGACATCTAACACTGTAACTTGTCCCTGCTGCATTTACCTAGTGGAATAAAATGAAGGTGATGGTCCAGTTACCAGCTTTTGAAATACATAGAGTATTTATATTTTGGTAGTGAACTTCCTTGAGATAAACAACATAGTAGTGATCTTCTCCAGGAGGCACACTATTAATTCTGTTCTAAAGCACTACCAACATCATACAGAATTAGCTTTATTCCACTTGGCATATTTTACCCAAGTGACTGTATTTTTAGAGTCTTCATTAGAAAATCATGAATGACAGATTATATACAGATAAGCTATCATGCTTGTGTTTACATCATCCTGTATGGGCCTTGAATATAGATTTATGTTACAGACCATGCTGCTGGTTAAACATTTGAATTATTTCTGGAATTATCTTCTGAAATCATCTTCTGCTGTTTACAGTTCTGTTCCATAAGATACTAATTGCTTTCAGCTGTCATTGAAGTCCTGGAAGCTCCTCGCTTTAAGGGGCAGTGTGCTAGTATAGTCTATGCAAGTTCAAATGTATTCTAACCTACTCCACTACCAGCAGCGTAACTCTTGTTGATTTCTGACCCAGTTTCCTTGCAGCTTTTTCTAGACATAGTTAGCTTTTAATTCTATCTTTTTTTGTGTGTCTCTCCCTCTAATACAGGAATCGTGAGATCCTTGAAAACGTATTAGCTGTCATCCTAGCTATTCTAGTTGCATTTCTGGGCTCTGTACTTCTTATAGAGGGCTTTTTCAAGGATATTTGGGTCTTCCAGTTCTGCCTGGTAATAGCCAGTTGTCAGTACTCGCTGTTGAAGGTATTTTAATTTTTATCTTCACGTTCTACAAACAATAGATATAACTTGGGTTGGGTATTGCAGGTTAGAGCTTTAAGGGAAAAATGCTTCTTTATCACTTACAAAGAAATGAGTAAACTTAGCTTCATGGAAAGTTTGTTAGATGGTAATACAAGGTCGCTTCACTAGAATGGTTCTGCGTGTGGCTGTTAAACATACCTTTATTTATTGTTCTCATGCACTTTTTGTTTTTCTAAAGAGGACCACATTCTTACTAGCTGAAAACAGCCTACAAATTAAACTTGAAGTTTTATTGTTTGGAGTTCTTATTTTTTTAGTGGATGCACCTCAGTGCATTCATATGAAGCAATTATATCTAAGCATATTTTTAGCCAGATTATTAGTTTTTGTTAGACAATTGTTGATGGTATATTTGTAATCTAAGAATGATTGGGTATGCTTTATGATTAGACTGTGAGGGTGGAAATTAGATATGAAATAAAAGTTCATAACACTTTGTTTAAAAAACAGCAAAAGTCGTAAATATCAGGGGTTTTGGGGTTCTGTTTAGAACTTTGGATTACATAAACTCTTGGAATAGATTCTATGGTTTATTGCATTGTGCTGCAGTGTGGCTTGACAATTGTAAAATTAATCATATTGTTAAAAGAATTTCAATCAAGAAAGTGTGTATGGGGAGGTAAACACTATCTGTAGATTGGGTAACTTTCCTCTTTCCATTTTGTTTTCAGAGTGTTCAGCCAGATTCTTCTTCCCCTCGACATGTAAGTCATGGGCTTGTGCCACTGTGCTAACCTTGCAGATGCAGGACTTCAACAGAGAATCAATCATTTTGGTTTGGTCTTTTCGACATTCTTCTTATGTGCTTTCTTATAAGACACAAGAGGCTTAAGGTTTTCCTAGTGTGTGGGAAGAGAACTGATACTGGTTCCCCCCACTCCCCTTTGTAATTAGCAAATCATGTCGTCCCCATCCGCAAAAGCAGATCCTCCCTGTTTTGAGCCTAGCTTTTGCTATGGAGCTGTGGCATGATAGATTTTTTTTGATCAATCTTTATTATTCAAGCAATTATACTGAGAAGTATTCTTAATGTTGCAATTTGCTCTGCTGATATGAACTGGCATGGCTTTGATCTTCTGTTCTAGCCTTGTAGATTATTCAGTTGTCCTAGTGTGCACACAGCCTTGGTTTTTTTCACTAATAAGCTGAGTCTGCAATGCTCTAGTAAGCATTAATGTTTGAGCATGGAAATGTTAATGTACTAGTGTTGCACAATATGTTCATGTTCTGTTGTGCAGCTACTACATTGGCAAGATAAAATTTTACTTTTATGTCCTAAATAAGATACATAGAAGCATTGCTCCTCTGCTGCAAGTAATTCATATTGTTCTATGTAGTAAGTTGTGTTTTTTAATAAACACAGAAATGGAGGTTTCCCTGCCCCGAGCAGGAGCAGTATCTGAGTAATAAACTTTAATTGCTTTTTCTTCAAATCTGGTTTATTTTCTGTTGCTTGTGAAGCCTAGTCAGAGTTTCTCTAATATTTAGAACTGCAAGCAGCATACTATAAAATATAGCAGAGACTAATCTAACTGTTGTGTCCTTGTTATAAGCCACAAAAAAAGACAGACTTCTGTCACTGCAAGGCAATGCCTTAAGGATTTTATGAGCAAAGCTTCAGGGTGTGCTGAGGTGACAGTACGTTAGCTGATGAACAACAATTCATTTTGGTTCTGAAGCTGTTTGTAGCAGAAGAGTGCAAATTACTTCTGTTAATAAGGAACAAATGTTGGTGTTTGTGTTTTTGTTTTTAAACAGGGTCACAATCGTATCATAGCCTATAGTAGGCCTGTATATTTCTGTTTATGTTGTGGTCTTATTTGGCTGTTGGATTATGGCAGCAGAAACATATCTACAACAAGATTCAGGTTGTATGGAATGGCTTTCACCAACCCATTGCTGCTGCTGTCAGCCAGGGACTTAGTTATAGGTGAGTGGCATTTTCACAGGTTTGAATTGTTTGCTTCACAACAGTAGAACTTTATGGAACATTTCAACCTTTTATAGCTTTGCCATAGAAACATCAGAGATGTCCCTTAATATGGTGTCACAGAAATTTTTTTATTATCTGGTGTCTTGGTCTTCATCCCCAAACCTTCTCTTCTTCTTAATTTGGATCTACCTCAGGCTTGGACGTAGCTGCTCAGTACTGAAAGAAACATTTTGATTTGGACTCTACTGTACTCCTTGGAGGGGCTTGTAGCAACTGAGTAGGAGTTTTCTTAAATCAAGTTATTTGTGTTTAGCAATTTGATAGAACAGTACAAGCACAATTTAAAAAAAGCATTATAGACAGAGTAGAGCTTATTTAATGTGTCTCTTCTCAGAACAGGCATATCAGCAATACCAAAAATACAATTTGGGGCTGTTATGAGGTACTTACACTGTGTTCTGAGCAGCACAGTGCATTCACAATGCTGTGCACTTTCCCCCCCATCCCCCAAAACCCAGTGCAAAAAAACAAACAACAGAAAAACCCAATGCAAAACCCAAAACAAAACCAACCAAAGTTCCCCTGTGTACCTTAAAAATTATGAAAATAATAACAGCTGTATAATCTCAGACAGAGCCCATAGAAAGGAGAGAACATAAACAGTGAAAGACCATCTTATGGGAACTTCGTGCATTACTTTAATGGAGCAGACTTCTCTGCGTGATGTTCTGTGAATCTCTGTTTGGGAGGGGCAAGAAATCTTTAAGAATTTATCTAAATTGAAGGCAGTTGCTCTTCAGTTGTGTCAAAATATCTCAGCATGAAGTTAAATGTTATGACTGTGTCTCCAGACAATTTTCTGTTAAGAAAAATGAAAACTTTGGTTTTGCTGTGGGTTTTTTTAAATTTTAATTGTTTAATAGGAATTACTGACTCAGGCATTTTGGGTATTAGTTTTCATTACTTGATTTTAAGAACATCCTGAGTTTCATGCCTTGTACTGTTTAACCCTTTAACTTGCTGCTAGTAAGTCTGTATTTAAATGTCCAAAGGAAAAATGTTGAAGATGCATATTTATGAACAAAGTATTGTCCAGATGTTTTCAAAGGTTCTTTCAAAGAGATTCTTTGATTCTGTTTATGTACTGGCATACTTCATTCTGTATCTGTGATGGAAAAAAGAAGTTCAGATAGATCATACTTTTCACTTATTCAAGACACAAAACTAGCTTCATTTCTCTTGATTATGCTCTGTCAGTTTTGGAAGTATTTTCTTCCCTTTCCTCTACCACCTGGAGTCATTGCTGTAATGTATACCCATGTCCCCATGAGATAATACATAAATGTATGTGTAGGTGGTGTGTCATATTGTGAAAGTGACCTACTTTTAAAAGTGCTTAAGAGTCTTTACCAGTTGTAAAAGATGTGGTAGCATCTTCACTGGGCCATGTCCATCTTGGAATTAGCTTTTTAAAATACTTAGTTTGAGAATTCTGAGTTGGTTTTGTTCCTTGCATTATATTGTTCTTTTGGGGTATCTTGCACCAGCTTATGTGGTTTATATTTCTTAGCAGTTCTCCCAATAAAAAATCAGGTTGCCAGAACAGATCGCTCTCCTTAAAAAAAAGAAAAAAAGCCAAACCAAAACAAAACCCTACACTGCACATCCCCCACTCCTCCACGCATATCTTAGCCATTGGAGCAGCTCCTAATGTTGCTGAAGCACTGTTACAAAAAGCTTTGTGTATTGCAAAGCAACCTGGCTGCTGGCAAACATACTTTGTTAGCACAAAGTTCAAATCTCAGCTGCCTGTTTTCCCATTCCCAGACATGGCTTGTAGAACAACACAGGTGTGGGGCAAGGCAAACTTGGTATTTAGATAACATAATTGCTGTATCCTTGCCAACAGACAAGTGAGGACTAGCATAAATTCTTCATGTATTTTGTGTCCCACATACTGGATATGATCAATTGGTCTAAATGTACTCCACATTTATAATAATTTTCTGTTTTCACCTCGGTGATCCCCATTTGAGAACAATTCTGTTGCAGACTGTAAAGGCCTCAGAAATGTTGGCTTTTTGCTGGGGTACTCTTCAAAAATTGTGTATTCCCAGATCTGCCTAGTAATTTTGTTTTCAATGGGTCAAGATAGTTCAACTTATAGACCTTCAGGAAACAACTTTTTAACCTGTCAGTGAGAGAACACTTTGTTTGCTTTCTATGTAGGCTTCCTTGAGTAATGATTTGAGATAAAGGATTGATTTGAGAATTCTGCAAAAGTATTGTCTTCAAGGTCTGGGGAGCTGGTCTGTAGTCTTGTATTTCTTAATCTGTATCAGTAAAAAATGCAGAACTCATTTTTTTTCCTAAGCCTGGAACCTACATGTTTATAAATGACATTGCTATTCAACTTCACCAAGGCATAGGGAAAAAAAATCAGATTCTCAGTACCTATCTCACTACAGATATTTCTAATGTTATATCCTTCAGTGTCCAGCCATTCTGTGGATATAAAATTAGAAACTTAAATTTGAGGGTTGTGGTGCTTTACAGGATGCTTTAAAATCAGTTTCTTCTTTTGGTCACCAAAGCAGCAAGTCAATAGGATCCTCCCTAAACTGCCAGATTTTGTGTGATATTTTTGTTATTTGATCCTTCTGTACCTCAGAACTTAGAACTTACCATGTGCTACTGCTTTTGAATTATACCTGAACTCCTATATCTGAACTTGTGTATAAGATTTTTATTTCTGCATCTTTTATTCCTTAAGATGGTAAGTAAATGGTATGTACAGCTTGGGACATACCATTTTCTGTGTTAATATTTAGTGGCATTTGTATATCTTTGCATTCTTAAGTCCTGTAATTTGCAAATGTTTTAATGATTAATACAGTTGCCTATTTTCATTTTTTAAAAAAAGGTCGTTTAGGATCAGAACTTTGAGAAGTGGTGTGGGAAAATGAGTAGAATTGTCAGATGTTATTAGCAGCAGAAAACCCAGAGTTGGAATGCTTGGCCTCTCTTATGTCAGTGTAACTGGTGTTAGCTTGCTCCTGTAACTCCAGACAGGCAGTTAGGCTCAGATATAAGTCTCACTTACAATGAGTGCAAACTTAGAGATCTAATCTGTAAACACTCTTGGCTGGTCTTTGCTAAATAAAAATGGAAGGCCTAAATTGATCTGTGTCCATTTCTACTGTAATTAAAATGAAACACAATAAATCTTCTGTCTGTTGGTCTATATAACTCCTGTATTCAGTCAGTCTGAGTTTTTGAAGTAGATCTTTACATAATGTATGTTTGCCTTAGAAATTATAGTAGAAATACTTCAGTGATGTTGAATTAAATGGTGTGTGTGATACTCTAGAACTTAAGCTGAAGAGTACTTTAACATGAAATATTTTTCATGTTCACCACTTCTTTTCAACTTTTTTTTCCCTCCGTAGTGTTTACACTATGTTTCCCGATAGTATTCTTCATTGGTCTCCTGCCTCAGGTGAATACATTTGTGATGTATCTCTGTGAACAGCTGGACATTCATGTCTTTGGTGGCAATGGTGAGTGTTCTGTTGTGTGTCACTGGCAACAGCATAAGACTTGGAGCAGCCAAGATTAGTAGGCTAGTTAAAAAATTTAGTGATTATGCTATTTTTATTCCTAGACTCTAAACATAAAATAGTAATTGTATTTCTGAAAAGTCTAAAGGCCTTCTGATTGATTTTTTTGAGAAATAGAATTGCCCTCCTAGTAAGTCTGTCAAAAAGCAAACTTTCTTCCTCAACTGATATGTTGCAGTTGTTAACTGTTCCCATTGTAAGGCTGTTGAATAAGTGAGGAGGTAAATAAAGCCACATGAAATGCTCTTTATAAAAATCATTTGTAGGGGAAAGTACAAGTAGTTCTGTGGGTTAGACTTCTTTTTTTTTTTTTTTTAAATTAGAGGGATGTTGCAGCTAGGGGACTGATATCTTCTTAAACTGATGTATTTTATATTCTAACTTAATTATGTAACAAGGTTTGTCTTTTTCTGTTTTCTCTGATATGCAGCTACCACAAGCCTGCTTGCAGCACTTTACAGTTTTATCTGTAGTATTGTGGCAGTAGCATTGTTGTATGGACTGTGCTATGGTGCCCTGAAGGTGAGCAGAATTTGGTGCACATTAATGTTTCGGGTTTTGGTCTCTGCTTCTTTCTACATTAGGTACTTAAATAAGCAGAAACTGAATTAGACCTATTAGTCTGATTTGTTAGGGTGTCATACTTGCTCAGCTGTGATAGGAGTGGAGGAGATAGTGTAAGAACAAAGCAGATTTTTTGCTTTTAAAAGGTGTGTGTGATTTTTGCCTGCACTAACAGGGTATTTTTTGGCTGAAAACACGTGACATGTTCCATTCTGCATTGATTCTTGGAAAAAATCATGCAAGTGGCTCATTTCTAGCACAGTGTTCATGTATGGGTTGATTTGTTAACCTCTCAAAATGGCTTGTTTAAGTTTCTTTTTTTCTGGTGCTGCAAAAGTGTAGTAGTCTTTTCAAGTTAATATTTACTTGAAGAGAAACTAGGAAACAGGCACACATCTTCATTCCGACACTACAAACTATCTGAAATGTGGAGTTAGTTAGCTGCAGAGGGGGACATCCCTCACCCCCAGGTTTTCCTTGCTTCAAATGCCATTCTGTTTGAAAACAGTGTACAGCGTAGTGTTGGTTCTGTTTGTTCATTTCAGGTGTGTCAATAGTCCAACAGGCTCAGTTTGCAATTAATTGTAGCATGTGCAACCTCCAGCTCCAGAGCTGACTGGCTTTTTTCCATTCTGTCACAGAGAGCAGAAAATTCCTAGAGGAAATACTCTGGTCATGCTCTCACCTGCAGAACATTATTAGCATCTGTGAATTTGTACACTTGTCTCATTAGTCTTTTGTAAACACATCTCTGTAAGTAAACAAGCTTTAGCAAAGAATCACTGTCATCTTTGCAAATCCAGCACAGGTCATGAAAACAAAAATAAAGCTACTGTTTAATCTGCATTCAGCACACTAGAAAAAAACATATGTAGCTTTCAAAATTAAGAAGTGACTAAATGCAAGTCTTAGAACCTGTGGTCTCAAGGAATGCAGGAAGTTGTTCCAAAGGGTTATGAAAAATGATGACTGTTTAATGTTTAAGATGGTGTAGGCTTGAGGGGATGTATGCTGTGTTAGAATTCCTGATCTGTAGATAGACATAGGTAAATATTGAACAGTAGTTTTGTGCAAAAAGTCCTGTTTCCTTTTTGTGGAATTGTAGATAATTTTTCACTCTCTTACTATGATATACATAATCCTTCCTTGTATGTCAGGTAAGTGGCATATACTTTGTCTCCTTTCTATTAACATTTCATTTCTGTCTCCAGGATTCCTGGGATGGGCAACATATTCCAGTTCTCTTCTCCATATTTTGTGGTTTGTTAGTGGCAATATCGTATCATCTCAGCAGACAAAGTAGTGACCCTTCCGTACTTTTGTAAGTGACTCAGTTTGAATCCCTTCCCTGAGGAAGAAGCAAGTTGCAAGGAAAAATTGCTAATAATGTTAGTTATTAGTACTGTTTGAACTCATAGTCCCTGGCATTATCAAAAACAGTATCTTCATTCAGTAGTTAGACATAAATTCTCACCTTTTGCACCTAGCTCCTCCTCTAATGACAGCCTTTCTTTGTGGCTTCTGGTAAGTCACTTACATGCTAAAATCTGATTTAACTGCTTGCTGATGTTCTCCAAAGTGTCAGTCAGGTGCCATCTCTCTGTTGGTGGGTTTGTGCTGAGCAACATGGACCCTTTCTGTATTTAAAGAAGTGCTCAAAGCACTAGTTGAAGCTAAGGTCCACATGGGGATTTTTTTGAACCATTTTTCTCACTTCATTTGTTGATGTGTTCTTATAGTGAACGTGTGCTCAAAGCACTTGATCAAGTAATTTCATCTCAGATGCAAAACAATAAGGATCTGGTTTGGTGATGTGCATTCCCATCTAGCATGGGGAGACAGGTATTCCTGTTGCTGTTCCGAGTTGGATTATTGATCTGATGCTGAGGGTATTTCTGATTCAGTTAATAATTATGCACGTAAAACAAAGTAGTTCCAGAAGGAGAAACACCTCCCACAGAATAGCCAATAGAAGCTCAGCCACATACCTGGGTTAGGCAGAGCTTGAACTTGGACTTAAATTTAGCCATAATGTTGAATTAATTTGATAAACAGTAGCCTGGGCTAGATAGTGAGGGACCTCTTTTGTGAACAAGGAGATTAATGATTTGTGAGTGTTCACACAGGAGGAAAAGTCTTATCTTTGGGTTGACAATTAGACCTTGTCCTATTATTCTTAGTCCAACTGACTTTACTCAGTTGGCATGAGATCCTTGTCCCTATGTACTTGTTCTTTTGTCCTTTCCAAGTACTAGAGCCTGGATGCTGATGTTTGACCTGCAGTTTCACCTGTTTAGCCAGATGTGGCCCAGTTAAGCATTCTAACACATTGAAATATGTGATTTCCTTTGAAGTTCTAAGCCTTGTTCTGTAGTGATCTTCCTGTCCATAAAATGAAATAATAATTCTGAACTACACAGGGTATTGTAAAGAAAATTATGTTGAGGGATTGTGAGGCAATTAGGTATGGCTAATAGTGCTGCACATAGTCTTCTAAAAGCTTAACTGTAAGGTTTTGGGGCTTTAGTTTCAGGAAGGTCTGCTAAGAATTCAGTAGTTTGATCAGCATGGCTGATTCATTAATGTATCAGGATAGTATAGACTGTTTTGTCATTGTTGCTGTTGAAGTTTGAATTAGTGGTTTTCTAACTGACATTGAGAAATAGATCAATTCTAAATTTTGCACATTTCCATTCAGTTATTTATGAATTCAGGTTTTGTTTAATGGGTGCTAAGAAACTTAAAATCCAGTGTTTGTTCAATTACTCCTGTTGCTACTAGAGAAACTGCTGTTTGAACATCTGACTGCTGCTCTTCAATGCTGGTCATTCTGTGCAACCAGAGAACTATTTTTTTAATAAAGTTGAGATCTCTGTAAATTTGCTTAGCTATGTGAAAGCATTAATATCCCAGGATTATTTTCTTGTGATAAACTTGAAATAGAACTTCTGACTTGGCTATTCTTCTAAAACCACATAGAAAATACATGCATTTAAGTGGGTGTTCTTTGTCTTTCTTTAAGCTCTTTAGTGCAATCAAAATTTTTTCCTAATTCTGAAGACAAAAACCCTGAGGATCCTCTGTCTGAAGTAAAAGATCCTTTACCCGAGAAGCTTAGAAATTCTGTGGTAAGTAGGCTTTTCAATTACTGTTTTTTAAAATTCAGTATAAGGATGTGCTTTGTTTGTTTGTATAACATCAGTCTGAGTCTTGCTTAGTTCACCCTTTCTACTTCCCGTGGTGCTGATTAGAATGGATACCAGAGCATTTCCTTTAAATCTTCAAGTGAACTGATGTACTACACCAAGAGTATAATGCTCATACTGCAATTCTGAGTTATTTAAAAGTAGACATGTGAGAGAACTGAAATTCCCTAGTGTGAATTCTGTGAATTATCATTGAGGATTTTTTTAGATCATTGATTATAATAAATGATACTTGCTTTTTGTGCAAAACTTAGTGGAAGAGAGTTAATGGTGATAAAACTATGTTAACTCAGTATTTCTAATGATTGTGAAGAAGAGCTTTGTGCTTGCTGTTCCAGAAGCAGAAAATAAAAATGGTGGAAAGCATTTGTGGGGCTTTTTGTGATTTGTTTGGGGTGTTTTCATGTTTTTTGTTTGCTTTCTTTGGCAGCAGATGTAACCTCTTCCATTTACTTCAGCACATACTTTGAATTTTTAGTGCCAATTCGCTCAAAATACTTACGGCGGTAGTAATACTTAAACATTAGTCTTTTTAACACAGTGTAGCATTAAGTAAAAACCTTGCAAAGCTTAGTATGTTTAACCTGTACAAAAGAAGGTTGAACATTGATTTAGTTTGTGTAGGGCTTAGCTGTAGGGGAGGAATAGTATAGCTGGGTTTCTTGCAATACAGCAGGCACAGCATGATGAGGTGCAGTGTGTGGAAACCACCAATAAATATTTAGAGCAGAGAAACTGCAATGCTTTTTATGAGTAACAGAACAGAATGACCATACAAGCTTCAGGCTCCTCGTTAGCTCTCAAGTTGTAGGACCAAGGAGTTAAGACTTTGGAGCAATAATTGCAGTGTGTGATTATTTGGTCGATTTTGGAGTAGTTAATCCTTTAATGATTTTCTGGGCTGTAGATGTCGATGCTGTTTTCACAGTGGGAAGAAGTCTGAACTTCAGGCTCGGCGTGGCAGTGGCCCTAAGTACGCATTGCCCCCTTGTGGCTGAGTCTGGAATTACTAGGATTGGGGGGTTGCTGGTTATCCATGGCCTGTTTGCATTTTCAGGGGAGATGGAAAATTCAGACTCATTCCTCGGGGTCATCCCAAAGCTATCCTTTACCCTTCTGCAAAGGAGAGGAAAGAGGGTTAAGGAGCCAAGTTGTTTCACCTGGTTGATGGCTCTGCCTAGGCAGCTCTTTTCCAGAGCTATTGATTGCCCTGTAGTTTAAGCAGTTCTTGGATTGTAGAGCGGAAGTTTGATTATCCCTTCCAGCTTTTTTGTGAGTGCTTAAACAGGGGTCCTTACACCCCCTCACAGTCCAGAATAAGAGGGAGAATATACTGGACATATTGATTCATCTTACCTCACTGTGAATATGCATCTTTCCACTTAACTTAGTTGAACTCATGCTCTGAGCTGTAAGATTTGTCTTGTGAAATTCCTGATAACTTCAGTGGAAGTAATTAACATTGGCTTCATTTGAAGGTCATTAATCAGTTTCAGTATTACTACATATGTGTATTAAGAAGGTATTAAAAAATTGTACTCAGTGATCTTGGAGGTCTTTTCCAACTTGAATGATTCTAGAAGGACAGCCAAAGCTGGTATTTGCTAAAATTATTTTATTTTGACTCTGCAGAGTGAACGATTGCAGTCTGACCTGATTGTGTGTATAGTCATTGGTGTACTCTATTTTGCAATTCATGTCAGCACAGTATTCACAGTTTTACAGGTAAGGTACTATTTCATGTCTTCCATTTGCCTTCTGTATGCAAATACTGTGATGTGATATAATACTTTGGTAGTTCCACTGCATGTCCTGACTAGTTTTAGATGATCTTTAAATATACAGTGTGACAAGTACATAACTGAAAATCTTTACTTTTATATGCTCAAAAAGTCTTCTTCCCCTGCTCTTTCCTAGTTTCTCCTTATTTTCAGGACTTCTATTTTAGTCTCTGACACAAAATGCCCTCTTTTGTTCATCTATCTCAAGTAAATAGTGTCAGGATCATTTTTGGAGTAAGGAAAAATCAGCTTTTTTAAAAAAGGTTTAAAAGATTTGATTCTCACAGTTTGGGGGACTGAACCTTGATTGAGCAATTTACATGCTAGCATGCTTATTTGTAGACTATAGTATAGGGGAGTACCCCTTTACTGGAATGGTTATTTACAGGACTTCAGAGAGCATTTGAGTTTTAAGTTTTTTGCTTGTCAGTCTAGCTAGTATTACTGCTTTGGATACTTCTAATATGTATATGTGACTCCTGCTTGATGACATGGAACTGGATCCTGTGCTTGGATTAAAGTAAAGCATTACCTTAAGAAGTTGCAGTTACTGAGTTTTTTATTTTTGTATTCTTGTAATGGAACCATTGGTTAGCTTATAAACAGCCTTATGTCAGGCAAATGATTCTTGCATGTGTTTTAGAAGGATTTTTACCCTCCTGCTGCTGCCTTCACTTAAAGTAAGAAACTCATTTTAAAAAGCATAGACGTTTAGGTAGCTTCAGGTTTTCAGGTGAAATGCCCTACTTAAGCAGATGTACTGGTGTTTTCTAAGGAAAATATCTCTTCTGTTGTATGACTGGACTTCACTCCTCTCAAACGTTGCTTTCCCTCATGCTTGAGAAACTTGGCTCTATGCTTTTCACCAGTTGCGTAGTTCAATAGGCTTAGACTTCACAGAATTCACCGAGAGCTGATGACAAGATAATGCAATCCCAATTTTGCTATGATTTATCTAGAAATTTAGAGAACATTTTCATGTACAGAAGGCATTACTGTGAAATCCAACCTTTGTACCATGTTCATGCAGCAGTATTTTGTGACTTCTGTGAAAGGGTTTGGTCTTGTGGGAGCTTTCTTACCTTCTCAAGAGAATGTAAGATTAATGATTTGTTTTTGCTTATGCTTATACCTTCTTTTATCTAGCAGATGGAAGTGTAAATTGGGTTCAGCCTTTAGAGACTAATATCTTTATAAAATGAAATGCATATGGGTCAGAAGCAGTGGGCTGTGAAGGGAGACTGGTGTACTACTTTTACTTTAAAATACATTTCAATTTAGTCAAAATTGACTAAATGGGTTTTTTTTTCCACAAAGGGTTTATTGTTTTATCTGGGAGTTGGTAGTACAGTCTCATGAAGAAACACATTCTCAGCTTACTATTGTAGGAGTACCTGCCTAGATGCTGGAAAAGGTATTATATTGTTAGTGTATTATTTTGTTTATAAAACCCAATCCTTGATTTTTTTCATTTCTTCTTTTTAGCCTATTTTAAGTTATGTTCTCTATGCATTGGTGGGTACGGTAGGCTTTGTGACCCATTATGTTCTGCCTCAACTCCGAAAGCAGCTTCCTTGGCATTGCTTTTCTCACCCGCTGCTGAAAACCAAGGAATACCATCAGTTTGAAGTCCGAAGTAAGTATCGTTTGTAACACTGACCAACTTATTACCTATTGATACACTTAATCTCTTGTCTTTATTATTCTCACCACTGGAGTTTTTAATAATATTTAATCTAGAAATGTCTCAGTTTCTTATTTCCTCATGCTTTGATTCCATATGATATTTTATGTATCTCTTAATTGATGATGATAATACATGTGCTAACATGATCTCAGAGCAGTTCTGTTAAAGCACAGTCTTAAAATCTTAAATTGCAAAGTTTGTGTTAGTGATTGCTTCAAGAATTTTTCATAGTGTTTTTCACTAGGTATTTCCTCAAGATGGTAAGTTGTCAAATGTGTTAGAGGATTAGGTGTGGTGAATGCTGTTGACGTTTTAACAACAGAAAATAGTGCAAGTAGCCAGCTAATGGATAAAGACACCAAGGGACAAGTCTTAGTAGTTGATCTGCATAGACATGTGTTTGCACCTTGTGTTAAAGCCTAGGTTTCTTTCTTTCTCTGGGAGCTGCAGAAAAGATGGAGTTATACTCCTGATCAGTTTTCCAGTATGGATGAATGTTGCAGTAGATTGTGGGGACTTCACTCTTGGAATGTGTTTATTATTAACAGCAGACTTGAAAAATTTCTATCATAAGTGGCCCAGAAACATTTGAAACTATTTAGGTTTTTCTCTTCAGTTAGTTGTCAAGACAAGACAGTAATGAAAAGAAAGCATTCTGCTGCTTTCAGGAGCAGAGAAGTATCAGAATTGATTCCCAAACTTCCCACCTTTGTAGGAGCTCTGCAGTGTGGTCTCTTAATTGATGTCTAGATTGTGGGATTTTTTTTTCCCAATGATTGGATGTAAAGATGGATAAAAGTGAATAGTAATTGTAGTATGATGTCAAATCTTATTTGGAAGAAGTGAAAAGTGCAATTGTGTGCCTTAAATATTTAATCTACAAAACTAGAGAAGCTACAGTTGGTGCCCTTTTGCTGATACCCATCTTCAGTATTTCCATATGTAGTAGTGTTTTCAGGAAAGATGGAAGTTGTATCGAGGAATGTTAAATAAGAGTTTCTAACATCTCCCAATTTAGTCGCTGTAACTTAGAGAGAATTCATAATTAGTAGTCCTTATGGCTTCTGTTGTAGAAAAGGAACTTCAGTTTTTTCTGGGGTTCGTATATAGGCACGTGCAGTCACTCATGGCACTGGTGAGTGAGCCTTTTTCTAGCCTTTTTCAAGTATACCTTAACCTTTTATGTATGCAGCAGTGTTTGACATAACATTTGACATTAGGCTCTTCTGGGCTATATTGTAGAATAAATTTGCTCATTATCTTAATTTGCATTAATTTGGGGCATAGTTTACAATTCTTGTGGAAGTTTAAAAGAAGTTTGTAAGTCTCAGACATTTGTGTTGGCAGGTTATATAGGCTCTTCTGTATCCTAGAGTTGTAAAACAGAAATCTTTCAGATTGAAAATGGTTGGAAATCATCCTTCTGCATGAGATAAAATGCATAATGTCCAACAGCCTCATCAATAGCAATGCTGAAGTTATTGAAGAGGTGGCAACCCAGTTTGTTTCTGCATGCAGCAAGCAAGTAGCTTGTGAACTGTTCTATTGTATGAGACATTTTGTACAGATGTATAATGGTGCAAAAATTCTACTGAGGCTACCAACAGTAGCTTAGAAGGAGCTTCTCTTTATTGTGGTTAAAGAAAACTATGAAAGTCCAGTATGAGAATACAGTTAATATTTGGCTCCATAAGTTACTTGGATTGAGAATGTTTATTCTGTTAGCAGAGTTTGATTTGACTGTGCCAACTGATTTATTCCTTTTAATGTATCTTGATAGATGCTGCGCATGTTATGTGGTTTGAGAAACTTCACATTTGGCTCCTTTTTGTAGAGAAGAATGTTATCTATCCACTGATAGTCCTCAATGAGCTTAGTAGCAGTGCTAAGAATATTGCTAGTCCAAAGAAACTGGATACTGAGTAAGTAGAAAAAGCTATCAAGTAATCTGAGTGTGTCTGCTGTGGTGGGAAATTAAATAGTGAGTTCTGGTCTCAACTGGAAGACAGTTAATGCTATTGTCTTAAGACTGAAGCAAGGAATAAAGAAAGCTTTTCTTTATTTGAAAGCCCTTATAGAGCCAAGTCACCTTGATGGCTTAAATTGAGTGGAGTATTACAGTGTTAAACTAGAAACCCCCACAAAGATAAATCGTTCAATTCATAGCGTATGTGGTAAGGATTGCAGGTTCCAGAACTATCTAGTAGTGTGATAACAGAGTTTCCCCATTGATCTTCAGAGTCTATAATATGATTATCCAGACTGGAAGTTAAAAATAGTGGTGATATGTTCTGGTATTTTATCAGGTGTAAATTTCAGGCGTCTGTAATGTTCCCTGAGTTTGTGTCCCAGCTTGTAGCCCCTCTGCAGCTTTCTACTTTCATCAAGGTCTTCCAGCCCCTAAGTATAATCCATATCCTGATGGAACTGCACACTGCCTCTTAAATTGAGCCTTAGTTATAATCCCTTGAGCAGTGCATCTGGCTGTCTCAGCAAATGGGGGTTCAATAATAGGCACTGCGTTTTTTGCCTCCAAGAGACAATAACCAGGTGGCTTTTTTGGATTTGAAGTTCTGTCAATTTAGAACAGAGAGAAAATAAATCTTGAAACAAAATGGAATATGTGTTTGGAGGGGACAGGACATTAGGATATTTGATCCCTTGATTTCATTTTCTTTCTAGTGACACTCTTAAAAATAATGCTAATCCTTAAACATTGATTTGAGAATACTGCTAAAAAGGCTTAGATAGCAATCTTTAAAAAAAAAATCAGGTATTATCTTAAAGAAAACCCACCCTAAACCAATCACCAACCATCCCTCCAATTCCAAAAGGAATCCTAAATCTAAACCTTGAGCTTGAAGAGATTGGCATTGCATGACAGCAACAACTTAGGTGGTCTTTAAACCCCTTTTGTTCAGCAGCTAGTAACTGTTTTTGTGTGAATTTCTTACACAGGTTGGGTGCTTTAATGATCACAATAGCTGGCTTGAAGTTACTGCGTTCATCATTCAGCAGCCCAACGTGCCAGTATGTCACTGTTATTTTCACAGTGCTCTTCTTTACTTTTGATTACAAAAGTTTTACTGAGACCATGCTGCTAGATCTCTTCTTCATGTCCATACTCTTCAGCAAGGTAAATTTAACTCTCTAGGTGTTTCAGGTCATCCAAAGGGGAAAACAGATAGTCCTAACTGATAAGTAATCTTGCAGATCCTCAGGCTTATTTGTACTGCAATCGATATGTAATCGAGCTGTAAGATAGCTAAGAGTTCTTCTTCCCAAAGCATTTATCTTGGCTTGAGAAACCATATGTCACTTTTTTAACATCTCCTGAGTTTCTGTTAGTAGAACAATGAAGTGCATATTATGTTACTTGCTTTTATGATTACATCCTTTGTCTAAGTTTCAAGGCTTCTGGTAGACCAGTAAGAACTCTAGGGTGGCCAATAAATTCTTCAGTATATTTGTGTGCTGCAAAGATATTGATTCTTAGCCAAATCACTAAATTGTTTTTCTCTCTCTCTCCTTTTTTTTTTCTATTTTTTTTTCCCCGTGTAGCTTTGGGAACTCTTTTATAAATTGAGATTTGTATATACCTACATTGCTCCCTGGCAGATCACATGGGGGTCTGCCTTCCATGCTTTTGCCCAGCCCTTTGCTGTGCCACGTATCCTTTGAAAATGCAGACCTTCTCCTGAAGTTTTATATTTATTGATTCTGAATGTTGTGTTACAATGGATTATGGGGTAAATCTACTGAAGGAACAGGTTTGTCTAGTGAGTATTTACAAGAAAACTGTGTACATTTTCTGCCTTGTTACAATGCTATGAATTATACAGTAGGGGATAGAGCAGGAATAGAATACTGCCATGAAAGAAACATGGAGCAGAATGATTCTGAAAATGACACCTCTTTTCTTCTGACACTCATTTACTTTTACAGGAGTCATTAACTATGGTTTTAGCTTTTGAGTTTTGCATTTTAGACTTGTGTAGTCTGGCTTGAATGGAGGGTTGAGTCAGTATTCTCAGTAGAATTTTTGAGGAAGAGAATGACTACCTTGTCTAGTGCCAAATTATTTGTTTTTAAAAAGAAAAATAATCCCCTTATTGCTGGAGGTATTGCAAAGAGATCTGGTTTTTCCTCTTCATTGGTGTAGCTGTCTATATCAGGTACTATCACAGAAGCTTAAAAAAACAATAGTTGTTGTTTCCGTTTCCTTAATTCTCCTGTCCTACAGATTCTGCCATGTTGTTTGTCCAAGCAGCTGTGTCAGCTTTTTTCTCTACTCCACTAAATCCTTTTCTGGGAAGTGCAATATTCATCACTTCATATGCCAGGCCTGTCAAATTCTGGGAAAGAGACTACAAGTAGGTGAAATAAGATCTTTAAAGTTTGTGTCCTTTGTTTTAAATAATGTAAATAAGTCTAAATATGTTGGTTTGGGGGTTTTGTTGGGTTAGGTTTTTTCCTCTCACCAATTTCTGGCATTTTTTCCTTAAGACAAAAGAACTTTATAGCACTGAAAGTTTTCAATGAACTTGTTTCTGAAATATTGTAGCAGCTGGTTTTTATACTACCAACATTTTCTTCAACTGCTGCCAACCTGGTGATTTTTGAACATAAAAATTATGGTACTGTGAACTGCAGTTTTAATCAGTGAATTTATGTGTAAAAAGGTTTTGAGGAACAGTTCATAAGTGTATTTTACCGATGTTCATTACTGTTTATCTCATAGCTAAAACTAGTTAAACTCAATATAAAAGTCTTTAAATATTTTTTGATCAAGGTGGGTTCAGTGGTAAAAGAATCTTCATGTCAGACCATACCTCCTTTCGTTTTATTTTTCTGAAGTTAACTATTGCTGATAAAGTCTCAGACCATTAAAATACTGTCGTGACAGTGTAGGGCAAGATGAGTGGCTATTTCAGTTATTTATGGAAAATTAATTTTTCACTTCACTGTTTAATTGCTTTTTCCTTCTAACATTAGAACAGTTTAAGCACAGTGTTCCAAATCTTAAAGAATTATGGTTGTAGCTTCAGACAATAACTATCTGAAAATTGGTCATTCAGTAAACTCTACTGGAATGTTAGCTGTGCTGATTACATTGTTCATAAGTTTATTTCTCATATCTAAGCTTTATGATATTTGTCTAAGAAAACATATGCACTTACATCTGAAGCTCAAAATTATTCTAGGCCTGCCTACTCTGGACAAATGTTATTAGGTATTATAATGCTATCATAGGCAGAATATACTTTTGCATATGAGAAGAGCAGCAAGCTTGCATATAAAATTACTTTAAAGTAACTTTTTGAAACTATTTCAGTGGAAATTATTTTAACAATTATTATGTTAGTAGCTTCTTCCCTCAGATTTCCTTACAGTATTACATTTTGTGTTAAGTGTGCTTTGTTTTATTCTTTCCAGCACAAAGCGTGTGGATCATTCAAATACAAGACTGGCTTCACAGCTTGATCGGAATCCAGGTAGCTTTCCTAGTCAGATTTTGGTGGTTGGTTTGGGGTTTGGTTTTTTGGGGGGTTTTGTTAGGTGGTTTTTTTGGGTTTTGGGGGGCTTTTAGGGGGAAGTGGGTGTGGAATTCTTTTTTTTTTTTGAGTAGTGAGTTTTCTTATAGTCTTTTATGGAATTTTTATCATGTTCATGATCAATTTGCACTCTGATTTTCTCCAGCTTGGCCCAACCTTTCTCTAGCTCTGTCAGAGTTAAAAAATAAGTCATCTCTCTTGCTTTATTCTTTAGACTCTCCCATAAGTTTTTTAATTTCACCCTTACCTTTGTGTTCTTGCCTTACTTTTTTATTTATAATCATAGTATGCATTACACTGTTTTACTTTTGATTCTTGAGTAATTAAAGTGCCAAGTATTATTTGAGGGTGTCTCGATGTCATGGTGATGAGACCAGTACAACAGTCATTACTGAGATACTTCTGTGCTCATTTGCTTTTGCACTTTATTATCTTGGATAGGTTGATGTGAGATGCATGAGTGGAACTGAAGGGATAATTTGGAAAATGGAGGAGTGACTATGGAAAAAAATTTGGTCCAAAATACAAATGTCACTTGGTATTCATTTGGAGGAATTGTCCCTTAAAAAAAGTGGGGGGTGGATTATGACCTTGAAACAGCATTGCTGTTAAGAAAAATGTGGCATTCAATGTGAAGTGATAGTTGACATTCAAGCTTGATTTTTTTCTGCAGATTAAGATAACCCAAATGCAATCTTCCTGCAGGTTCAGATGATAACAACCTGAATTCTATCTTCTATGAACATTTAACCCGTTCCCTTCAGCACAGCTTATGTGGAGACTTGTTGTTGGGTCGCTGGGGAAACTATAGTACTGGGGACTGCTTCATCCTAGCCTCTGACTACCTCAATGCACTAGTACACCTTATAGAGATAGGAAACGGCTTGGTCACCTTCCAGCTGAGAGGGCTTGAATTCAGAGGTGAGTGTCTTAGAATTCCTTAACTGTCTGTGGTACAAAGAGGAGTTCTGCTTTGGAGACTGAAGTTACTTTCCATTCCATCCTGTAAATTAATTGCTTTGAAAATGGGCTGCAGGGCCTCTTGATGCCTCTGTCACTGAGGAAAATGAGCTTGCCTCTAGCAGAGTTGATGCTAAGTCCCTCTTTCCATTTTAGTGCAACATGGCTACTATACTTGCTTCTTAGAGAAACCGAACTTAAGATGTGATCCTAGAGTGATTGAGCTATCCAGATACTTTTTGTCTGTTGGCAGATAGTTCTCCTAGTCTTAAAAAAAGTAATTGGAGATGGGTTGAACTCCTTTAAGCACAGGTTCACATTAAAGCAATCATAAAGCATTCAAATCTTTTATCTGTTTTATCCTAAGGAACTTACTGTCAGCAACGAGAAGTAGAGGCCATCACTGAGGGTGTAGAGGAAGATGAAGGTTTTTGTTGCTGTGAACCTGGCCACCTTCCTCACATGCTTTCCTTTAATGCTGCTTTTGGGCAGCGTTGGCTGGCTTGGGAAGTGCTTGTGACAAAGTATGTTCTGGAGGGTTATAGCATCACTGACAACAGTGCAGCTTCCATGCTTCAAGTTTTTGATCTCCGGAAAATTCTCACCACTTACTATGTGAAGGTATGATACAGATCATACAGCCTTGGTGGGCTGGATTGCACCTGGGAACTACTTCATGTCTTAAACTTCTAATGCCTTTGATAGGACGATCACAGAATGTGGTGGTAACTATAGATATATGAACACCTTCATCAAGGGAGGACAGAATTTGTTGTACTGATGGTGACTCAATACTCTGGTGCCTGAGCAGGACAGTGACCCTGTAGTCTAGAAAAGAGGAGGACACGTTACAGCTGCAGCTGGAGTAGAAACTTGAAAACTGTTACCTAAATATATTAGTTGTGTTGTAAATGAAAAGTTATATAGACTGTTTCTCTTGGAGAAAGCCAAGCTGCTTTGGTCTTTATAAGCTATCCAAACCCATCTTTGTTCCTTAAAAAAGAAAGACTGCCCTGTCCTGCAGGTGTAAGAGGACTCTAGGCCTCCAATCCCTTCAGGTAGTCCGTGTACTAATTGAGATCTTTCATAAGCTGCTCTCTTTCAGAAAGCTGAAAATTTTCAGGTGGAAGTATTTCCAAGATACTTATTCTCACATGCACACAAGTTGTTGAGTTCTCCAACAGAAGGATCTTTAGCTGCTTTGTGTTTAGCATTATTTTATTTAGAATTCTTTAGAAATCCATCATTGAAGCCTCCATGTTAACCAGATAAAAATTTCTATGTATTTGTTTTCTGCAAAAATTGCAGTGAAGGTCCCGTCCCATCCCTTTTTCCTTTCTTTATTCCTTCCCTGTATACTTCAGAACTCTTGACAGTCTTTGAAAAGTACTCCTGTATACCACCTGTATTATGTTTTCTGTGCAAATTTATTGCACCTGTGAGCTCAGTAAATGCTACTGTGTGTCAGGTTTTTTCCTTGCCAGGAAAATAATGTAAATAAGTTGGAATAATAGAGATTGCTGACTGGATTTTTTTTTAATTGCAATACTGACTCATATTTTTTATGACTCCTGTTTCAGGGAATTATCTATTATGTCACAACATCCCCCAAGCTAGAGGAATGGTTAGCTAATGAGACCATGCAGGAAGGACTGCGGTTGTGCACGGACCGCAATTATGTTGATGTAGACCCAACGTTTAACCCCAATATTGATGAGGATTATGACCACCGTCTCGCAGGGATCTCCAGAGAGAGCTTCTGTATGATATATTTGAACTGGATAGAATATTGCTGCTCTCGAAGAGAAAAGGTAAGTATAAACATGTGAGGAAAGCCATTCACTGTTCTAAAATGGTCTCATTTTTTTTCTTGTTGGTTTGACTTACAGGCTGGTTTGGTGTTGATTTTTTGAAAATAAATATGTATAATCAAAATGTTTTGACTGAAATAGTTTTGGTCTTCCATTTTTGAGTTTTAGTGAATTCTCTAAGTACTGTATGGTTTAACCAGTTCATTACTGCATTTTATTTCCCAGCTCAAATCAATCAGTGGTGTCTTAGGCATTTTTCTACATACAACAAGGATATTCTTTCAAAATTGATGTTTTGTGTTTAGATATCGGTGTTCACAAATCAACCCTTACTTAAACAAAAAAGCACCAAAAAAACCAAACCCCTAAACCCTCTAATACCTGTTACCAGCTTATAAGACTGTGGTCTTCCTCGGTGGTCATGCTAAACCATTCATTTGAACCACTGAAATTATTGGCTTGTGAAAGTGATCATCTTGTATTCAGTCTTTGCCTCTTTCCAAAATCTTTCTGCTTTTTAAATAGGCATGTTAGTAGGTTTCTAGATAAATACCTTGACTTACTGCTGTTTACAAAATAACTGTGTGGTCTAGTCAGATTAGTGCTGTCTTTGAGAATAAGCAGAAGTTCATTGAGATTAAAGGGACAGGCATATAATTGGAATTTACGTGTTAATGAAGGATTCAAGACTTCAGGGTTCAGTTTTGCATTGGAGGTAGAAGGTCAATTAGAAGCCCATTTAACAGGTATAAGACTTAAAGCATCCTACAGTCAAATGGCAAAAAACAGCCAAAAATGTCTTTCTCTCCAAGTCATGATCATGAAATAATTTGTGTATGTATTGAAAAATCAGATTTCATCACTTAATGATGTTGTTGTCTCGGGTGTTATATACCTTATAGAGCTACTACTGGATTTCAGCTGAGGGTGAGTTTCCCCTAACTAAAGCTATAGTCCAGGGAAGGTTTTGGTTAACTCAGGATTACATATTCCTAACCATTGAGAATCTACTGTATTCACTAAATACTTTTGTCTAAACTCTGTAATTTTGCAAATTTTTCCTACCAGATGCACAGTATCCATGAGGAATGCAGCATGAATCTGTTCAGTTTGCAATTTATCTTATTTCAGATCATAGTATATGTTTGCTCTTACAAATATTCTTACCTACTTGCAAAGCTTTTGCTCAGACTTTAAATCAGAATTGCGTTTTAAGAGTAACTGATGTGGCAGGTACATACACACTCTGGAGTTTGTGAACTGTTACATCTTTGGGTCTTTTTACTCCTTCTGGCAGAATGTTCTCTTTCAGTGGCCATTTCTTTACTCCATTCACCTGATTATTATTTCTTCTTTTATTGTTACAAGCCACTGGATTCAAGTAAGGACTCACCCCTAGTGACACTGTGTTATGGACTGTGTGTTCTGGGGCGGAGAGCATTGGGAACAGCATCACATCATATGTCTAGGTAATAAAATGTTGTTGTAAGCTTCCTGTCCTCAAAATCCCTCTGAGTTTCCTGATTAGGTATTAGATGAGTACCTTTCCAAAGAAGAAATGGGTGATTGGTGTCATCTTTCCTTAAACTGGACAGATTTGCTATGTAACTTGTCTTAATTACAATAGCCAATGAAACATAACTGAAAAAAACAAAAGAGGGAGGACTTGATTTTGAACATTTTGTTTTATTGAACTGATGCAAAGTGAGAATTCTGATCTGGGTAAGGATCAGTTACAACTGATAGGGGAAAAAAAACCCCCAAGAACTGACAGTTCTGAAAGTAACCTCCATTTCCTGCAGCAATTATGTGCCCTATATGGAAATAAGGGGAAGAAGAGGAAAGTTTCTTGAAATGAAGAATACATATGTCTTGTGGACATTAGATCAGACTGTTGGGATAAGTTTCACAGTTTAGCTGTCTCTTGGCAAGCAGTTGTGTTTTGTACAAATATCCTTCAGCTCAGCTCTTCATGTGGCAACCTCTGCAGACAGCCTCAAGTTTAGAAAGCCAATGTAAAACACAGTTGTCTGTTTCAGGAAATCACCAGGTGATGGTTTAAAAAGAAAATAAATAGAAGCATAATCAGATGTGGAAGCTATTGGTCAGCTTAGGTGCTGATGTAAAACCTGTTCTACTTCACTTCCAGGGCAATTGCCTCCAGAAGGTCTTGCAGATACGCAGTTACAAGAGTGATCAGAGTGTATTTGGTTTTTCACTCTTAAGTTAGCTTAGTAATTGAAAACAGTGCTTTTAAGCATGGAATGTTGGCAAGATTTGTATTTTTTACTGAAGCATGCACAACTGAAGCTACATATCCTCTTTAACTGGTCCATTGTGCTACATGCCCTGAAAAGTTTTCTCTTCAGTGTTCATGTTTATTTTAGTCCACATAAATAGTCTGTTGCATGTATGGTTTATTCATTACCTGTTCAGTGCACGTAGACTTCTAGTGTCTACGTTTTGCTTACATACACATATCTTTACTCATATATATTTTCTTCTCCCTGTCTTATCCTGGAGCTAAAATTTATAGGGAATAAGTGTGTGCCTTTCTGTACAGCTCAGTATTTTCTGTTGTTTTCAGTGATAATAACTATGGATATGTTTGTGTTTTTGTTAATGTTTGAGCTGTTCTCTTCATTATCTTTTTTTCCCCCTCAACAGTAACCTGGAATCCTTCTTGTATGGCCTGCATGCCCTGTTTAAGGGTGACTTCCGTATATCTTCCATTCGAGATGAATGGATCTTTGCTGACATGGAATTGCTGAGGAAGGTTGTGGTTCCTGGAATACGGATGTCACTGAAGCTACATCAGGTGAGAGATTACATGGAAAGATGAGTCCAGAATCTGTTATTTCTCCATGTTCCTTCTTTTAAAAATAAGTGGGAGGGGGGAAAAGAGAGGATGGGAATAAAAGGCATGTGGTAGAGGGAGACAACTGAAAATGAAGGAATATTGTGTCTTGTCCTTTAATTCATTATAGCTCTCATGAAAGGTGATACAAAGGAAAAGGGAATGCTGTTTATGCTCAGACCTTGAAAATTTGATTAAATGTAGATCAGAGAACATGTCAAACCCCACTTCCTACCTAACTAGAGATATTTCCCTTATGAACAGCTTCTCACATTTTTACTCTCTCTTCCTTCCCTATGCATATATAATTGGCTTTAAAGGTTATCATGCCATTCAAGGCTGCACAGCCCTCTCCCATTGGGAGCTGTTTTTCTTGTTCTTTTTCCTTTGAAGGGTTGTAAAAACAGGCTTCAGGTGAGAATGAGAAGGTTGCTTTTCACTAAACTGAAATTAGAGTTTTCTTTGTTCATCTTCACCCTCACTTCACTATAATTTCAAATTCTGTCCAGTGCGTGTATTAACTCATATCAGCAAGCACAAGCAAGCATGTACTTTGTGATAAGCACTCTGAAGGGGGGGAAGTGTTGATACTGTAGAAGAATACCTTGCTTGAAAATCGTAGTAGGTAGGCAAATCTTAGTTGCACTTCTAAAATTATTATTAAAGTTTCTATTTTTGCCTTCATTGCAGTCTAGAAGTCTTCCAAAGCTAGCAATGATTGAATCAACTTCATGTAACACAAACTCTCTGAACTTAGCAGAATGTGTGTGTTAGGAGAACACGTAGCAAAGCAGAGTAATTACACAATCATTGTTGAAACTAGCAGAAGTACCACTTGAACAACTCTGAAGTGTTCTCAGAGCATTACTGTGCAGAGAATGAAAAGTGAGAAAAATAAGATATCACTCGAACATAAAAAGGGATATTGCTGAATGTTATTTTATTTATCTATAAAGGGTGCTTTTATTCACTTCTGCAGTGCAATAGCATATCCAGGCTTCATCCAGTGTTGGAAATTGAGCTATTAACCACTGTTCTTTTTTTAACCACAAAGTAATGCAAGCAAATACTCGATTAAACTTGCAGATTTTGTGTTTTGATTTGACTGGCAGTAATGTAAGTTGTCTTGATAGTAGTAAGTGGTCTGATGCTGAAACAGTCTGTCATCAAGTCTTAATGTAAACTTTTTAATAGTAAATATTGGTTTTCTTCCTATTGCTATTTTAAGTTATTGAATAATCAGTCCTTTACTTAAGTGTGTTTTACAGTTGGAAACTTGTGAATAAGTAAAGAAGCTAAAATTAAAATGCTTCTGCAAGCAATATAAATAGATAAAAATACAGTGTAAAATTCATCTAGAAATTTACTTGAATCAGTGATAGGCAGGTCCTTCCAGTCGTTTTGGCTTTAAGTTAAAAAAAGGAAGCAAACAAACAGAACTAATCTGTTGGAAAAGAGGTTATATTTTAACAATGTTTTTTAGTAGGTATTTGATATTTCTGACGATTACAATCTGTAATGCACTGAGCATTTCAAGAGTTTGAGGTGTGAAATACTTGATTTTTATATGTAGTTACATCTGAAATGTTATTCATATCTTATCGAGCATGTATTCTTGGAAACAGGATCACTTCACTTCTCCAGATGAATATGATGATCCATCTGTCCTTTATGAAGCTATAACAACTCATGAAGAAAATCTAGTTATAGCACATGAAGGAGACCCTGCTTGGCGGAGTGCCGTTCTTTCCAATTCTCCGTCCCTTCTTGCTCTACGTCACGTGATGGATGATGGCACCAATGAATACAAAATCATTATGCTGAACAAGCGATATCTCAGTTTCAGAGTCATTAAGGTAAGCTTTGTGCACACTTCACAATGTGTCAGCATCTTGCGGTCTATTTTAATAACTATACCAAACTGCTACTTCAACGCAAATCATTGCTGTTTTGTTATTGCTGAGGCTGCTGCTTCTCATACAGTGCAAGTATTGAGTCAGAAAATCAGTTCCTCCTGACTTTAAAATATTTACTTGTCTTCCCGTTCTTAGTTTTCTCTATTCTCACTGTAGCAGCCTGTGTCTGTATGTTCAGTCTGTTCATGTGAATACCTGCAGTTCTGCGGTTCAGTGTTGCATACGCTCACAAAGGCTTTGGTACAGCTCAGCAGTCATCACATGCTCTCGTTGCTTCACCTTCTAATGCAGCCTCTCTACTTGGCTTCTGCAGGTGAATAAGGAATGTGTGCGTGGCCTGTGGGCAGGACAACAGCAGGAGCTTGTTTTCCTGCGTAACCGCAATCCAGAGAGAGGAAGTATCCAAAACGCAAAACAAGCTCTAAGGAACATGATCAACTCCTCTTGTGACCAGCCAATTGGATACCCAATCTATGTCTCACCTTTGACTACTTCCTATTCAGATAGTCATGAACAGCTGAAGGACATTCTTGGAGGAGCCATCAGCTTAGGAAACATCAGAAACTTCATAGTGTCTACATGGCACAGGTGAGCTGAGGAAAGGAAGTTCTCATTAGTATGTGTTTGTGCTTTCATATTCCATTAACTAGTCTTGCAGTGGCTCAGCACAGCATAGTTTATAATATCCAGTCACATAAAAATAAAAAAGTCTTGGCTTTTTATTTTGGGTGCATCAGTAGCAAATGGCGACTGCTTTGGTACAGGATTAATCTTCAAGGCTAAGTAATGCACCACAAACTATGTAAATGAGAGAGAAACAGGACAAAGTCTATATGCAAGAACCACAACTTCAGTTCTAACATCAGGTCTGATAATGAGAGACAATGCAACGTCTGTACTGTTCTTTTGAGTACCATTGCTTTTGCAGTCTATAATAGCATCGTCACATAATCACGACTGTTTGGTAGGGTCCCTGTCTGGCAAATATTTAGCATGAAAGTGCCATAGTTAATATTGTTAGGGCATGCTCATACATAGTATCACAAGCTTTAGCTGTTGTTCAAAATCTCATGAGTGCTTATAAATACCCTGTATGTCAGAGCCAGAACAAATAACTGGGATGATAATAATGTAATCGTTTCTCCACATGACCTCTGGGTAATCCAGTACAAACTCTTGCTGTGCTGTGTTTTATAGGCCATGAGAACTTCTGGCCTCTTATGACTGTAGCTCCAAAAGCAACAGTGGCAGCTGCATGTGGCATTCAGAAATGTGCATCCCAGTTCTTACCAGTTCCAGGAGCTGGTGCCATAGTCTGTAGCTGTTCTGACAGTTGTATTTAACTTAGACAGACATTTACAGCACATCAAAACAGAATGTGATGCTTCACCCCAGAGTATGCCACGTTTACTGTAGTCTGTGGTGTTTGTCTCCTGTCACCATCTGCTTGTCCCACCTGTGGATAGAATAGCAGGTGAAAGTTATGACACAGAACAGTGTTTGGATCCAAGGTGTGTATGCTCCAGAATTCTGGATCCAGGGGCAAACAAAATTGGAAAGGAATGTTCAGTGTACTTACTTGAGTTCAACAGAAAGAAAGGAAATAAAATATAGGAATTGAAGGGAGGAGGAAATGTTCTGTGTTTTTTGTGTCCATTTGAAGTTTATTAGTGTCAACAATGTGGTGAAAAGCCTGTGCAGTTATGTACATTGGAAAATTTTGGCTAACTTACTGTTAACCTAATGTTCAATGTGTGCTTCAAACAGTTGTGGGTGCATTACTGTAGGTAACAGGAAACAAATACATTAAAATGGAAAAAAAAATCCATAAAACATTCTTTTCCTGCTCATTTGAGTAGACAAAGATTTTGCAGTATAGCAATACACAACTGGTGTGTTGAGGAGCATAAATTTTACAGAACTGTTAGAAAGTAACCAGTATGTTCTCCCAGCATTTTAGATATAGAATTTTATCACTTTATTGTACTTCAGAGGTGACTTGATTATTATTTTTTAAAAGCTGTTTTGTATGAGTGTTTGGCTTTTCATAAATAATTGTTATTGAGTAACTGTCATGAAGAAAATACCAATCTCTTAGAAAGCAGCATTTATATATGTAAAGCATATTCTGAGAAAATCAAGTTAAGTTTTATCTGATTTTAGGGAGTGCTGTGGATTGTGTTGAGTGAAGCCTTTCAGTTCTAAGGCATTTCTGCTGATTAGGACCTGATGTAATGTATCAATTTTATGTTTCCAGACTAAGGAAAGGCTGTGGAGCTGGCTGCAATAGTGGTGGAAATATTGAAGATTCAGATGCTGGAGGTGGAGCTTCTTGCACAAGTAACAATGCAACTATCAATGAGTCACAGAGCAGCATGTCTCAAGGAGGAGGGAATGTAACTACAGGGCAGGGACCTGGAGCAGTACAGCACCCTCCTGTTTCAGCTCATCCCACAACTCTTCCTGCAGCTCATCCACCAACTCATCCCTCCACTCTGGGTAACATTAAAATAAAAATAAAAAACAAACAACTTGATACAAGTTCAGTCCTATAGCCAGAACTGACCTTTCAGCTCTTTGCCCTAAGTTAAAAGAAAAAGCAAACAAAAGTGATGTGATTATGTAGTGCTAAAAGCTGCTGGATTCATCTCAAACTACAGCACTGTTTTATCCAAATCCCAAATGGATTTGAGCAATAAGGGTATAGTAGAGCTGACAAAATAGATTAAGTAACATTTTATACCAGATCACTAAAGTTGGATCTCTTCACTTCTGCTGTATTGTCTGCAAATGTAAACTTGTCATTTTTTGTGAATGTCTGTCTGTATTTCTTATTTATACAGTGGAATGAATTCTCTATTTCTATAGTTTTCTAGCTGTATCTTATCCACGTGTCCATAGTGATCTGTAGTTAAGGGAGGTAACAAACAGTAAACCTGAGGAAAAGCTCTTCAAACACTACCTCTGCTTACAGAGAGTAAGTGTATGTAGTTGAATGAACATGATTAGAGCTATCAGCTGTGGAGAGGTTATCTGCAAGTACTTAGTATAGGAAAAGCACCAATTCTCCTAAACTGCAATTTCTGTTTTTCACTCTAAGTATATTAAATTTCAAGCAACTTTTATTCTAGCAAATTTTCTGACCCAAACTTCGGATGTGGAGTCAAGCATATTAAGAAAGAATATTCAGTATTTTGAAACATGGACATCTCTAAGTGCCTATTGCCTTAAGTATGGGGAATTTAAGCATTAATATTAAGGAAGAAATTGTTAATGTGGAAAGGGCAAGACTGAAGTGGTTTTCAAGCTGGTTGGAGGGATTGTGACTTGAACAGAACATGAAATTCCGAGATAACATGAATGGAATGTATTTGAATGTTCTGCTATGTGAAATGCAGCTGAGATCATCTGCAGTACAGCTGTTTCAGATGATGTTGATTAGACCAATCATTTTGTATCAAAGCACTAAAACATTTGTGTGTCAGCAATCTAATGTATGTGGGAGGCTTTATCAAACTTCACTGATTCTGTGTCTTTCACTTTTAGGCACCAGTCACAGCTCTCACTCTGTGCAGTCCAGCCTTGTCAGACATTCCCCTGCCCGTGCCTCAGTAGCTAGCCACTCATCGTATTGCTACGGCAGTCGTCACTCATCCCTTCGCACATCCACAACAGGCTTCGTGCCTTGTCGCCGATCTTCCACCAGTCAGATATCCCTGCGCCAGCCCCGCCTCTCCATGGTCAACCAAATGGAACCTACTGGCCAGACTGGGGTCAGCCTGCAGCATGGACTGCCCTCTTCTAGCAGCTCCAGCCAAAGCATCCCAGCCTGTAAACAGCATGCCCTTGTGGGCTTTCTAGGGACAGAAGGAGGGAGTAATGCAGCTGAAACTCAGTCAGGTGGTAATGCAAGCCCTGCAAATCAAATGCAAGCCAAAAAGGATGACGTTATTTACAGAATCCAGGTGAATAGCCTAGAAGAACAACTTAACCTGTGTTTCCATGTGCTTTTGTTAGTTGTTTCCTTGTATGTTGTCGAAATCACTACTTTTAAATACATTGAGAGTCTGGAATGTCTCGGCATACAGTTATTGTGCAGCTACGTTTGGAGAACTAATGTGGGGAAAAGGTTTTCTGGACAATCAGCCTTCCTGCATGCTCCTTGCTTACATTATTTATATGTTTTGCTGTAGTGCAGCTTTGAGAATGTCAGCAGAACTCAGTTCCACTTCCTATTTAGTTTGCCTATATATATTACGGCATGTAAAGCTAAACAGCTTCATATGCAGGGCAGAAAGCAACTGGCTTTTTTCTTTGAAGCCAAGTAGGTTTTCCCTAAAAGTAAGTGTAAAAATACTCACTTTTGTACATATTTATTTGGTTTTGTGTGTATTTATTCTTTGGTTATTGCCATGTCAGGGTTTACTGAGCAGCAAACAGTACAGTATTGACTATATTAATCATGGCAGCCTTACTTGTTCTGTGAACATCCAGAAATTTGTATTCTTGCTTTTCTAGCTTTTATTAACCCCACATACGTGTCTTTTTGGAATTATATTAGTGGGAAACATCACGAAGAGTATTTAATAGGCTAGATCATAATAAACATCATTTCATTGCTGATACCACCTCAGTTTAGAGCAAGCCTTAGTAAACTGCATCATAGTGGGCAAAGTTAACTAATTTTTAGGTCTGTGCTTAGTAGCTTTTGTTTGCAGGCAAGGGCCCTTTTATGAAGCTCCTTACTTCCTCTAAAGGAGGATAAAGGCAAAGTGAACGTGTACCCTTGGATAGTGTGTTATGGAGTTCTCTCTGTCCTTAACTCCTGGAAACATCTTCCTATTTTTCTCCTGCTTCCCCTGTGGAAAGGCCAGTTTACTTCAAAACATGAGGTGGCTCTCAAAACATGGGGTGGCTCTCAGCTGTCCATGCTCGTAGATAAATACTTCTTCAGCCTAACAATAAATTCCCCAAGACTGTATTTCTGAAGATATTCTGAAGAAGTAATGAGCAGATTTTAGCAGCTCATCACTTAACTCTTCCCTGCTACTAGATCGTGTGCTTATGTTGTGTGACCTCCCCAGACTCTGCCACGAGCCAGTGTAACTGAAAGATGTGGGAAAGGGAACCAGAGCTGTTTCTTCAGTGAACTGGCATATTGTCAGCTGTGTCTGGAACTACAGCCTAATTTCCAAATTCTGTGCTGCTCAGGCTTTTTCCTAGCCTGGAGCTTGAGTTTCTAACATCCAAAGTGGTAAGAAGTCAATTTCTGTGGGTTGAAGTCAGTTATCTGGAAGTATGCAAAAGGTTAGAGTTTATTTGTTTCCTTGAAATTTTGGCTGAACTAACAGTCAAAACTCAATTCCTACTTATAGTTAATGGATCCCAGTCAAGTACTGGAAGGGATCAACGTGTCAAAAAGGAAAGAGCTGCAGTGGCCAGATGAGGTGATACGGCTAAAAGCTGGAAGAAACAGCTGGAAAGACTGGAGTCCTCAGGAAGGCATGGAAGGCCATGTAAGTTTTGCTTAGAAGTTGTCAAGCTAATCTTAAAAAAGGTAGTGTCTTGATTCTATGGCAGTTTGCCTATATGTCAAGGTCAAAGATGTGTAGTAGTAAGTTAGATTGACAGCTGTCCCCAAAGTCAGTTTTGGTGAGAGAGCTGGTCTAGAATCCTAATTTGAAGGAGGAGGAGTTTTCTACAGCTCTATGCAAAAGATGCAGGATGATGATTCAAATGTTGTCAACCACCTCTCCTCCTTTGCCTTCTTCCAGCTCTTGTCATGAACTCTCAGGCATTGCGCACATTCATCCAACCTTCATTTTCCTTTCTTTAAATTGTCAATTCCCTAAGCAAATGCAGAAGGTCAAGTTTACCAGTGAGTCCTTAATTGAATGATTAACAGTATGTGGTTTTAAATTATTCTGATTGAAAAGGAGCCAAATAAGATCGTCTTTAGATGTCTCTTTATTATTTAATAGACACATGAGAGGTGTTTACTTTCCTTTAAGAAGGAAATCTGTTCTAAGTAAAACTTGTGAAAGCCTGTGACTTGAAATTCCATCTCTTCCCTAGGGATGTTACATCTGCATTTTACAGAAGTTCACCGCATTAGTTAGAAAACTTTTGTCCCAGTTTAGGCTCTTTTTATGGGGGGGAAAAAACCCAGATATATCTTTGAAGCTTTTTGATTTTTACTGATATGTACTTTTTTATTATGATTAAAGACCTTTGTGTCTGTAAAGATGCTCCTGCGAGTATTCTTTCAATGATGAATAGTAAAAGGGAAGAGGCCCTGACATTGTGTCTGCAGTGGTCATAAATATAACTGTATTCTCATTTGGAATATGTCAGTTTTACATTTTATAAGATTTTTTTTTGACTGCTTACCTCAACTGGTCCAGTTATTTGTAAATTGGAATCGGGGGATTGATTTTTCTGTCTAGAAGTCCACGTCACTGTGGATGTACATGCAAACTTCAGGTAAGAAACAGCAATATGCTGATACCACAGCATATGCTGAATCTACCTTGCTGTTAAATGTATGTGAAGGAAGGGCCCTGGAAATAAATTCTTTCCATGAGTAACTGTATTAGAGTTGACAGTCCACTCGTAAGATAGTAGGGTTACCTTGTAGGTAGCACCTGAGAGTAGAATGCTCTTGTAAACATTCACAGTTATGTTGGGTTTAGGCTTACTGTTGCAGATCAAGAATGTCCTAAGGGTAGTGAATGCAAAGGATTTTATTGAAACAAGTTCCCTTGCCTGGTATCATTAGACAATTTTTTCAGGAGTTTGAGAGTGTGTTTTATCAAGTGCAGCATGCTGACATGTGCAGTGATTGATGTTACAGAAAGATTAAAAAGAAGAGGATTTGAAGGTCAGAGTAAGCTGCTGTTCTGAATGCTTCTCATCTATTTTTG